AGAAGGTACACATATATAAAAACTAAAAATCACAAGTATATCTTTTATATATTAGTCAAGGCTTTTAGTTAGGTATTTATTATACACTAGTGTCCTGGTGCACATATTCATGCACGTTGAAAGGAAATTAATTAGAAGAAATATTTTAATATCACTATTTGCATCTTACTAATGAAAAGAAAATAGGATTCTACTGACTCTCCTATCTACTTACTCCAGGACTTTGTGAGGATCAAATGAGATGAGGCAGAGAAAATGCTTCACAAACATTTGGTTAAACTGGCTATAAAGCAAGTCAGGTTCTTGGGCTGAAGAAACTCCAAGGATGCTAGTCGCTAGGGAGAGGAAGCTAGGCATTGCTAAGAGACGTCATTACCTAGCTCCCACAGTGGCCGTTTCTGAGTTGGACAGGGTTGTGGACCATATTTTACGCCATGTGGTCTTGGCAGCATTGGCTGTGATTTGGTGGGGTGTTGCTCTGGGGTGGAGGCAGGGCCTGTGTCCCATTTGGGGGAAGCCAAGTATTGGTTTCTCGGCACTAGGTCTGTGGTGCTGTTTATTTTTAAGTGGCCAGTTTGCATCATGGCAGCTCCTGCATTGAGCACCTGTCTCCCGGTGGTCAGTGCGCATTAGAGCTACCGGTTGGATGGACAGACACTCAGTCTTTTGTATATATAGACTAGAGGCCCGGCGCGCAGATTCATGCACCGTTGGGGTCCCTCGGCCTGGCCTATGCTCTCTAGCAATCCGGGATCCCTTGGGGGATGTTGGAGAGCCAGTTTTAGCCGGATCCCTGTAGGCCAGGTTAGGGACCCCACTGATTCACAGATCTGGTAGTCATTGTGCGTCATAGCTATTGGCGGTCACTTAGGGGTGTGTGTGTGTGTGTGTGTGTGTGTGTGTGTGTGTGAGAGAGAGAGAGAGAGAGAGCACACGCGCGTGTACAGAGGCCTGGTGCACAAAATTTGTGCACTGTGGGGGGGGGGGGTTGTCCTTCAGCCCAGCCTTCATCCTCTCCAATCTGGAACCCCTCAGGGATGTCTGACTACCAGTTTAAGCCTCATCCCTGTAGGATCGGGCCTAAACCAGCAGTTGGACATCCCTCTCACAGTACAGGACTGCTGGCTCCCAACTGCTCGCCTGCCTACCTGCCTGCCTAATTGCTCCTAACTGCTTCTGCTTGCCAGCCTGATCACCCCCTAGCCACTCCCCTGCCAGCCTGATTGACACCTTCCCTATAGGCCTGGTCTTCCCCAACTGCCCTCCCCTGCCAACCTGGTTGCCCCTAACTGCCCTCGCCTGCAGGCCTGATTGCCCACAACTATTCTCCCCTGCCAGCCATCTTGTGGCGGTCATCTTTGACCACATGGGGGTTGCCACCTTGTGTGAGTGCTTGAGGGTCAATTTGTATATTCTTTATTATATAGGATTAGTAATTGTGTAATGTCTCTCGCACTTCTGTTGTCTCATGGTGAGTTCACAGGATAAGGGAAATTGAATAAGCTATTTTAATCTTGATATTTTGCATAAAATACAATAGGAATTTAAGATCAAGTACACACAATTAGGAACTTAAAATTGTCCTTAATTTTGTCTTTGTTTAATTTATAAATCTGCTCTTTGGTGTTACTCCATTGTAATAAAGAATTACCAGCTTTATATACTAAGGAAGTTCCAAGTATTTTCACAACTATAGAAACTTCTGTCCTAGAGTTTGAAAATTTTGTCCTAATCATATATTGTTAAATTTTAGATCTTTAAGGAACTTTCAATGATCATTAGTCTAAACTTTTCCTTTTAGATTAAAAAACAAACGTAAAAAAAACCCTATGCTCTTCAAAATTAAATTTTCTTGTCAACCTTAAAGGTAATGATTGAACTGAGACTAGAATTTTAGAGGAATGCAATGTTAATTGTTCTTTCCCTTCTTCTAATACTGTTTAGATTGTTTTTATTTTTATTTTATTTTATTTTAAAATATATTTTATTGATTTTTTACAGAGAGGAAGGGAGAGAGAGAGAGAACCAGAAACATCGATGAGAGAGAAACATCGACCAGCTGCCTCCTGCACACCCCCCACCGGGGATGTGCCCACAAAGTACATACCCTTAACCGGAATCAAACCCAGGACCTTTTTAGTCTGCAGACCGACGCTCTACCACTTAACCAAACCGGTTTCTGCTGTTTAGGTTGTTTTTATTTTTATTTTTTTATTATTGTTTTTTCATCAGATTTTTTTTTTATTTAATTTCCTTGGTTTTTAGATTCACTTGTTGATAGTTACGTATTTGTTGTTCATAATTTTTATCTTTATTTACTTTCTCTTCCGAAAGAACCCCCTTTAGCAATTCATATAATTCTGGTTTGGTGGTGATGAACTCCTTTAGCTTTTTTTTTTAATTAGTGAAGCTCTTTATCTGGCCTTCGATTCTGAGTGATAGCTTTGCTGGGTAGATTATCTTTGGCTGTAGGTTCTTACTATTCATCACCTTGAATATTTCTTGCCATTTCCGTCTGGCCTGCATGATTTCTGTTGAGAAATCAGCTGACAATCTTATAGGTGCTCCTTTATAGATAACTACCTGCTTTGCTGTTGCTGCTTTTAATATTCTCTCTTTGTCTTTTGCTCTTAGAATTTTAATTATGATTTGTCATGGTGTGGTCCTCTTTGGATTCCTTTTGTTTGGAGCTCCTGGACTTGTAAGTCTAATTCTTTCACCAGGTGGGGGAAGTTTTCTGTCACTATTTCTTTCAGTATGTTTTTGATATCTTGCTCTTCCTCATCTTCTGGGACCCCCATAATTCTGATGTTGGTTTGCTTGAAGTTGTCCCAGAGGTTTTTTACATTATCTTCAATTTTCTGGATTCTCTTGTCTTCTTGCTTCTGCGGAGTAGTGTCTTCTGGCTCTTTATGTTCCAAATCTTTGACTTGATTCTTGCGATCTTCCATTCTGTTTTTAGGACTCTGTATATTTTTTATTTCAGACAATGTATTCTTTATTTCTTGTTGATCCCTTATCATTTCTCGTTGATTCCTTATTAATTCTAGTTGATCCCTTTTCATATCCTCATAGGTCTTATCGATCTTTTCTAGGAAATTCTTGAAAAACCTTATAAGCATAGATTTGAACTCTATATCCAGTCGCTTTTTGTCCTCCATTTCTTTCATTTGTGATCTATTTCGTTGTCGCATTTTTGCAGCTTCCCTGATGGGGCGGAGTTTCAGGGTGGAGCCTACAGCCTTGGTTTCCGTCAGCCCCAGCATATGCAGCTCCTGAGTCTCAGGGTCCTTCAGTACTTGCTGTAAGCACCTCTGAGAGAAAGGTGCCCTTGATTTTTGCCTGCTACCAAACAGTCTAGGCTCTCCCCCAATTAGCCCGGAACTGGGGTTCAGTTCAGTTGGAAGTGGGATTGGAGGTGGCGTTCAGAGCAGTCTGGAACCCCAGTCTCCTTCCCGCCAGGGCAATTCCGCGGCACAGCCAACCGTCCCTTCTCTGCACGCAATGTGCTTGCCTCCGGGACCTCCTTTCGCCGCTCCCCCGGGGTTCCGCCTTACAGTCCAGCTCCCTGTGAATGAGTCTGGGTCCCCAGGATCTGGCCTAGAACTGGGGTTCAGAGGAGTCGGAACTGGGCCCCAGCACAGTTGGAGCTTTTATCTCCTTCCTGCTAGGAAATGCCAGCCAGGCACTCAGCCACCCCCTCCTCTCCGGCTCCATCCTCTCTGCGCATGCCGTGTGTCTCCGTACCTTAGGCTTTTCCAGCTCCTCCGCTCTTCCTTCTGGTTTTTTCCTTGCTTCTCGTTGTAGAATTTCCAGTCAGTCGACTTTCCTGTAGTTCTGGGTAATGTCCACTTTATATTTTAGTTGTATTTTATTGAAATTGTTGTGTGCGGCTGCGGCTAGGTATTTACCTGAGCAGCCATCTTGGATTCTCCTCCCCCTTCTGTTTTGAAGGTTTTGTCTGTTTAGGTTGTTTTTTAATAAACCAAGGAGTCAAGAATAATGCTAAACATATATTATAGCAAAAGTAGTCATAGTAGTTCGGTAGTTTTGCCTGACTTATCTCTAAATATTAAATATCTCAATGTAATATCAATTTTTCCTTGGAATGTGTCAAATTAGATTTCAAGTACAGAGGATATGTTTGGATGACTAACATTAAAAGTGTAAAGATATTTCATAAAAATTACTTTGTACATTTGTTATCATGACCATATGAAAATTCCAATAAATTTCTAAGTATGTTTCTATCAATCCATGAGTCTTTTATAGGCTTAGCATGAATGATGTCAGAATTATAGCCAGTCATTTAAGCAGAGCCGCTGGTAGTATGTTAGGAAAAATATAGTTAAACTGAGAGCAGAAAAGTTAAGACGACATAAGGAATTATTTATTTTTCACATGTTTGTTAAGCAAATTTGAAGAGTTGAGTTCAAATGAGTTATTATGGAGTAAATCATTGTAAGACCAAAGGAAATAATCAGCTTATTGATGAAATAGATTAGAAAGTAGCCGTTAGTGTCATTCTATTTTCCTATTCTAGGGCAAAACACTAAAATGGAATAAAGTTTTATTTTCTCACAGGTGCCATATGATTTATTTTGTCCAATCTTTGTTCCTTAGTATGTAGAGAAGTAACAATCATTTGTTTCCATTGTCCATCTTACTCTTATTTTTCTAAATAAGGATTTGATTGCAATAAGTGTTTGTATCTTAAACATACAGACAATTCGGTGGTAGAGAAATGGGCAGAAATGGAAGCAATTTATTAGGTGAGCTGATTAGTCTAAGCTTATAGAGCATATTGAAAACTAAGTAAAAGAATTCTTTTGGAGAGACTGAGAAGTTAAAAACAATTGAGTTAGAACTGGAAAAACTGCTTCAGAGTACAATGTAAATGTTGAAATTATAAAGGTATTTATAACTTCTAGTAACTCAACTATCATTAGTAATTTTTATGGTTGCTATTTTTATTCTAATCTCGTTATTTTTCCCCTTAGGTGGTATCATGGAAAACTTGATAGAACTATGGCAGAAGAACGCCTCAGACAGGCAGGAAAGTCCGGCAGTTACCTTATAAGAGAGAGTGATCGGAGGCCAGGGTCTTTTGTGCTTTCATTTCTTAGCCTGACAAATGTTGTCAACCATTTTAGGTAAGTTTTTATTTCCAATGTGAGGCTGTATAATAGAGCTGTTTTGCTGTACTATTCGTAAAAATATCTATTTTAATAAAGGTGAATGACTCAATGACATTTAAATAATGGGAAAGGAAATATGTTTTCATTTAAATGATTTATCAGCAATTTAGAATAGAGGACGAATGTTTATATTATTGTTTAAGAGCAGTATTATTACTGGTATTACTATACTAACCACAAATGTAATTATTACTTTTGAAGTATAAATTATTTAAATTAGGAAACTTTGAGTGGTAAAGTAGAAATACAGAATAACAAAAAATACAGGAAACTATTTTTAAGAGTCAAAGGTGTGTGCCCCTTAATTCATTTTAGCTACTACACTGTTCTGAAACTCTTTACAAATAATCATTTCAATTAACTGAAAATGTAGATTTACAAATACAGATAGATAATCAAAGTCTGTATGTATTAAAAATACATATATATATATATATATATATACACACACATACACACACACACATATTTGCTTTTATTTTTATGGGCATGATTGAAAAAATCATCTGCATATAATGTTAATGGATGAAATGTTTGTATACCCTTGATTTTAGATTTTAATATAAACTTTAAGAGTTCCGTTATATTCTGTACTATATTTTAATTTTTATTAGTACCACATGTATAATGGAAATTATTATACTGTGTAAATATTTCAAGAGATCTAGAAGCTGCTTTTAGCCAGAGGTTTTTATTAAAATTGCTATCCAGTCATTCAGAGGGAAAGCGAGAAGACGTATGTGAGGATGGATTCACAAATATTTTAGTGAATTGTGTAATTGAGATTTATTATGTGTTAAATATATATGCATGCATTTCATATTTCTTATGAAATGCATGCACATATATTTGTAGAAGAAATAACCTCAAGTAATTAGCATATTGTGATGATGCTAATAAGTAGTATCTTAATACACAGATGCAGTTAAGAGAGTATGAAAATTATGGATTTAAAAATTTCTTTATGGAACTTGGTCTTCAAAATGATCTCTAAAGGTTCTTGTTATACTGTATTTTTTTCCTATACAAATAGGATTATTGCTATGTGTGGAGATTACTACATTGGTGGAAGACGTTTTTCTTCACTGTCAGACCTAATAGGTTATTACAGTCATGTTTCCTGTTTGCTTAAAGGAGAAAAATTGCTTTATCCAGTTGCACCACCAGAGGCAAGTAAAACTTGAATAAAATATCTTTCAAAACTTTATTATTTTACTTTAAAAATTGGAATAGCTCTCATTCAGTTTCTTGTGATGTTTATCCTATATAATAAAAGGCTAATACACAAATTGTCCCCTCTGGAGTTTGACTGACCAGGGAGTTTGAATGCTTGCTATGAAGTGCTCTGACCACCAGGGGGCAATGCGGAATGAAGGAAGGCCCAGCAGCCAGCAGCAGGGGAAGGAAGGCCTTGATCAGCCATGATTGCTGGCCAGGCCTAGGGACCCTACCCATGCATGAATTATATAGTTTAATATAATTTAAGAAGTATTTATTGTATTAAATTTCATCTGCCCCTAGTATCAGTGCAAAACTGACTACTTCTTTAAGATAAAAGATAACATAATTTTTCTGTAATTTTGTATTTGTTACTTGATTTTTTTTTAATAGTACTGTATAGTGATAGCCTAACATATTTTTGAATGAATGAGAAGTAATTAGGGATATATCATGGTGCTAATGCTGAAGTTGCTGCAAGATTCTGAAATGCCTTCTATATATACTGTATATATTATTGGAGAAAGATTAATTTATATGTTCCATATAATTTATTTCAAACGAAATTCGTGCATGGGTGTGGTCCCTAGGCCTGGCCAGCAATCGAAGCACAAGTGTCTGGCATGGAAGGGCAGATCCCAGCTGATCTCCAGTGTTGGGCAGCCCCTGAGCCCCTGAGCCCCCACGTGCCCCCCTCCACCTGAGTCACAGTGCCTGGGTTGCCATAGAAAGATGCAGTGAGCACAGCCAGATGCCGCGGGCAGGGGCGCAGTGTGGGCTGCTGGGCTGCTGAGCGTCGCTGCATGGAAGCTCAGTGGGCAGTGTGCTCTCTCCAGGCTGGCCTCATAGGCTGGCTCCTGCACGGATCTATGGGGAGCCTGCTGGCCCTGCAGTCCTGGAGGCTGTGGCTCCGCTCACCCGGAAGAGGCTGCCTGGATGCCCGGTACCTTAGCGCTGAGGCTTCCCCGTTGCGCAAGCCCTGGCATCCCAGGGGAGGGTGGCAAGGGGAGTGAGAGTGAGCTCAGCAGACACCCCACATTGTCATCACGCTTCCCTGCCCGTCACACACACACACACACACACACACACACACACACACACACCCCGGTAGCTGGTGAGAGATCGCAGCCCCCCACCTGGGCGCCATGGGATGTTGGTCACCAACACCTACCTCCAGTTCCCCATCCGGGTCTTCAGGGCCTGTTGGCCATTGGTCACTGTCTGTGGGGTGATCAGTAGGGGCCTGGCTCCCAGCCCAGCTCCCTCACTGCCTGGGAGCTGGGCAGTGACCTGCCCCCTGCTGCTGCTGCTGGTCGCTGTCTGTGGGGCAGTTGGGCTCCTGCTTGCACCCACCTTGGCCTGGCACTGCCTGCTCACTTGCTCCACCATCCTGCTGTGGCCCTGCTCTCATTGGGGCCCATCCAGGCTGCAGAGTCTCTACTGCCTCCCGCTGCCAGTGTCACGTTGCCAACGCCCGCCATGTTGCACGCTGCCCCCGGTGGTCAGCGCATTTCATAGTGAGAGGTCGAACTTCTGGTTGAACTCCTGGTCAAACAATTTGCATATTAGGCTTTTATTATATAGGATTTACTGATTGCTCATAACGCTTGATACAACATATACTGTTGCAAGAATTTCTATAAAAATAACAATAAAAACAAGACGAACGTTTACAGGCTTTGGGTATTTAGAGCATCAGTAAGACATAGTTTGAGTGAGCCTGTTGTGGACATACTTGATTTTACTTTGATATACAAAGGTTATTTACTTCTGTAAATCATTTTTTTTTTTTAATGGTTTTTAGCCAGTAGAAGATAGGAGGCGTGTTCGAGCCATTCTGCCTTACACAAAAGTTCCAGACACTGATGAAATAAGGTACTTAATAACATGTTCTCATTTATCGCCATTTGAAAGATTTCAGTAACTTATTGCTCTTGGATCTGGAAGGTTTTGGAATTTGAGGAAATAACATGCAGCAAGGTAAAGGTGCTTTTAATATTGAATTTGATGTTTTGTAATCATAGTTGGCTTATCTGTTTAGATTGTGAATTTAGATCAGAGTGGCAACAGTGAAGATGACAGGAGAAATAACTTAGCTTTTGTTAGACTATCTCTGAAAGTAAGGAGAGTTCTGTTATATTCTATACTCTATTTTAGCTTTTATACTACGAGACATCTGTGTCTCAACTGATCATGATAATACTAAGACACTTGTGTTTTTCATTGTGACATTTGCACTAATGGTACATAAGTAAAGGCAGTAAAACTACTGGCATTACCACAATTCAAGGTAGTAGCTGTATACCAAGCATGTCAAATTCGTAGCCCACAACAAATATTTTTGCAGCCCAGCCAATATAACAATATATAAGAAATGTTTTAATAAAAAATTTGTAACTTAATCTTTACAATATCCTGTTATACATAATCTATATTAATAAAAGCGTAATATGCTAATTAGACTGGATATTCTTCTGGATGGACTACCTTCTGGATGAAGCTGGGGCTGCGAAGGAAGCCCAGGTACCGGGTGCCTGCTGGTGGCCAGAGGGAAGCCTGGGTCCTGGGTGCTAGAGGGAAGCCCGTTCTGGCAGCCGGGGAAGGAAGGTCTCTTGCACGAATTTTGTGAATCGGGCCTCTAGTTATTAACAATTTACTACAGTATTTGCTAATGACTGACTTCCATAATAGTGATGCATTCATTTTTCTTACATGCCTTACACGCAGGTGCACCATTTCTCTCCTCTAATACTGTCAGCGAATATTTTAGCATCCGATTGCCACGTCATTAGTCTTATACTAACTTGTTTGGTGTATGCAATAGGAAGTATTTCGTTTTTGGAGAATAAGAAAAATAGGTTTATTTATGTTACACTTATTAATTTTTGCAGTTATTCAGTGTCTGATAAGTTAATGTTTAAGAAAAATATTGATTTTTATTAAAATGTATTATGTTAATGATTACTCATTTATTTAAGCCCCTTGTATTCAGCATGTCTCTATAGAAATCTATGTTTCTATGAAAATTGAAGCTTTTGTTTTTTTACTGCCCACATAAATTTAAACCTTGTTTGTTTAAATTTGTGTTAGCCTTTGATTTTGACATGTTCTTTCAGTGCAGTTAGACAGCAAACAAATCAGCCAGTTTCATTTAAGGTTGGTTCGGTTCTGTTCTTTTCCCTTCCCTTCCCTTCCCTTCCCTCCTCCTCCCTCCCCTCCCCCTCCCCCTCCCCCTCCGTCTGTCTTTCTGTCTTTCTCTTTCTTCTCATCCGAGAATATTTCTATTACTTTATTTCTTTATTGATTTTAGAGAGTAAAAGAGAGGGAAAGAGAGATAGAAACATCAATGATGAGAGAGAATCATTGATTGGCCTCCTCCTGCATGCCCTCCACTGGGAATCGAGCATGCGCCCTTGACCAGAATCAAACCTGGGACCCTTCAGTTTGCAGGCCAATGCTTTATTCACTGAGCCAAACCAGTTAGTGCTTTCTATTGATTTTTAAAGAGAGTGTAAAGCAGTGGGAGAGACAGAGAAATATTGATGTGAGAGAGACATTTGATTGTTTGCCTCCTGCATGAGCTCCAACCTGCACCAGGGATCGAGCCTGCAACCAAGGTATGTGCCCTTGACCAGAACTGAACCTGGAACGGACTCTTCAGTCCCCGGGCTGATGCTCTATCCACTGAGCCCAAATGGCGAGGGCTTAAGATTGTTCTTGATGAAACAGTAAGAAATATTTATTTTATTAAATCTCAACCCTTGGCTATGCCTTTTTTTTTTTTTTTAAGTATGTTTACTTTTTCTTTTTAAAAAATATTTTTATTCATTTTTAGAGGAAGAGGGCAAGGAAAGGGACAGAAAGAGAAACATTGTGATAGTGCAACATTAATGGCTGCCTCCTGCCTGCTCACTACTGGGGATTGAGCCCACAACTCAGATTTGTGCCCTGGTCGGGAATTAAACCGGCAACCCTTCGGTGCAGAGACGATGCCCAACCAACTGAGGCACACCAGCCAGGGCACTATGCCTCTTGTAAATATTCTGTGTGATGAAATGGGAAATACTGTACAAATAAAGCACTGCATATTCACTGTGAAGTTCAGTATTTTGAGGAAAAGCATTGGGTTTAGAGCTGAAACAGATGCTGCTTTTGTGCACAACATTTTTACTTAAGAGAAAGAGAGGCAAACTATGGTTATTCATTCTCAAGATTTGACTTTGTGTTTTAAAAAAGGTGAGTCTGTTACTTCAAGGGATATACCTGGTAGTATTTGTTGCCATTGACAAAATTTAATTTGAGCTTTCAAGCAAAAATTAGAATTTGGAAATCTTATATCTGCCTTCAAAAATTTGACAACATTCCAAATGTGTAATGAGAGTGGTAGAAAGTATGTGATGTTTTGATAGTGTATAATGTATTTACATCTGGAAGATCTGCATAGCTCAGTAAATTAGTATTTTCTAAATGATCAAGCATGATGTTACAAAATTATGTATAAGTAAAAGATCCTATCAAAGTATGAGACCCACAAATGATTATCATTGGAATGGGTACAGAAAGTTTATTGATATATAGTTTTGGATTCCACATTACATTTAAAGAAAGTGCCACTTTTTGAGTTTTTGTTAAAATATCATCTGTAATTATCTGAGAGGCTATTAAAATATTCATCAGTTTTACAACTACATATTTGTATGAAGTCAGATATTCTTTATATACTTTAAGCAAAATATCATATTGCAACAGATTAAATGAAAAAAAAGATAGGAAAATCTATCAGTTTTCAGTTAAGCCAGACATTGAGATTTACAAAAATGTAAAACATGAATATTCTCACTACACTTAAAAAAAAAAATATATATATATATATATATATATATATATATATATATAAAATTATTTTTAATGTTTCATTACTATGTAATGGGGTATATTATTATTAAAGGAATTACTATTTCTAATATTTTTATTAGAAAATTGTTAATTCTTGTAAGATTTTTAATAAGGCTAATTGTGCTTATGTCAAATAAACTTTTTCTAAAGTAAGTATGTTGTGTATGTGTAATGAGTTAATTACTTTGTGTTTATAATTTTATATCTAATTTACCTCTGAAAGATAACATTGACACTTAAATTTCCAAGTTCAGGTTTCTTGGAGTTATACTCCAAAGCCTACAATACACATGTAATTATTGTTTACAAAAATTCCAATTTGAATCTAATATAATCCAATGATACATATAGTTCAGGGACATTTATTAATCTATTTTACCAGTAAGGAAATTAATTCAGATTTTTAAATTACGAAACATTCTACTTGTAGAAAATGTTAGAAATAGGACAAAAATCCCAGGTTATTTGACTTTAATCTGTTGCATTTTTCGGTATCATCATTATCTCCATGGTGTGTTACATGATTACTCAAATTTTCAAGTTTAAAATTTTTAATGTCAATATCTTTATACTTGCTATTTTCAGTTTCTTAAAAGGAGATATGTTCATCGTTCATAATGAATTAGAAGATGGGTGGATGTGGGTTACAAATCTAAGAACAGATGAACAAGGCCTAATTGTTGAAGACCTGGTAGAAGAAGTGGTAAGTTTTGTTCTGTTCTTCTCACTCTTAGAATTCTAAATTTTTGTAAAATTGTGAAACTTGTCCATAATTAGGAAAATTATTTATGAATACATTTTTATCTATGATAAACCTCACTTCACAAATTTTATTAAAATGTATTTACTATTAGTGATATTTATTTATTAAAAACATAGCCAAGCTAGCATGTTTTAATCTAGAGCTGCCAATTTTCAGGTTTCATGAGTTTCTAAGAATTAAAAAATGTATTAGCATTTGTATTATTTGTATTCCTTTTGTCTTCTTGATATTCCTCATAAATGATGTCATGTCACTGATCATTGAATCTCAAATTCTTTATCTCCCAAAATCTATGTATAATTTTCTAGTAACCTTGGAAAAACTCAGTTATGTTACACACATATTATCTTATGATTCTACATTTTAAGTATTCCCCTTGTTTTTATTGTCATCACATAATACATAATTACAATAGTAAGTTGCACATTTTCAGGTCAGCATTCCAGCAGCATTTGCATTTCAGAGATAATACTCTAAGTATTACTGAAATGTAGCAAACATTATTTTACAAATTTGGAATTCACAAATTTTGGATTTGTCCAGAAAAATTTAATTTTTTTTTGTTATCTTTTACAACCCCCAGAGCTAATGTTTTTATTTTTTTATTTTGTTAACCCTCACCTGAGGATATTTTCCCTTGATTTTTAGAAAGAGGAGAAGGGAGGGGGAGAGACAGAAATAGCGATGTGAGAGAGACATCGATTGATTGCCTCCCACATGTACCCCAACCAGGGTGGGGATTGAGCCTGCAATGGAGGTATGTGTCCTTCACCAAAATCGAACCCAGAACTCTTCATTCTTCAGGCCAATGCTCTATCCACTGAGCCTAACCAGCCAGTACTAATGTTTCTAAATTATCCCATAAACCTGGAAATAAGCTGTGAAATCTGTGATCTGATTATTGTTGCAGGAACACGGCAATGGAAAATATTTTTCTTTGCTATTAGTTCTCTTGTCTGCCTATTCTGGCAGCCAGATCTTGATATGTAGAAGTAAGTTATATGAGGAATTAAGGAAATGGTATGATATATTCTATACTCATAGTCACAATAGTTACTTAGTAGAAGAGGTAATATTAGACTTTTGAATCCTTAGATTAGTATTCTGTATTCTACAGTAGGAGAGATATTTACTCCATACTAGAGGCCCATTGCATGAAGATTCGTGCAATAGGCCTTCCTTTCCCTGGCTGCCGGCACTGGTTTTCCTCCGGCACCCAGGATCTGGGCCACAGCGGAGCGGAGCCAAGCCTTCAGCCTTCAGGCGTGGGTCTGGCCACAGCGGAGCCTTCAGTCGTCAGTCTTCTCTCCAGTGGAGCCTCCAGTCTTTGTATATGCAAATTAACCTGCCATCTTTGTTGGGTTAATTTGCATACTCATGATTGGCTGGTGGGCATCACAGAGGTATAGTCAATTTGCATCTTTCTCTTTTATAGTGTAGATAGGTAAGAAGTGTTCAAACTGAAGAAACTTATTACCTATATTGGTTTTATTACAAAATTTCTTAATTGAAACTTTTATGTTAGAATTTGGAATTCTGGGTCAAATTTAACAAGGTAAACTTTATTAAGTGAAAGTTATCTAATGAGGACAGAAAAAGAAGTTGTTCAATTTAAGATAAGGAGATATGACCTCCAGTCAATACAAGGAAAAAAAAAAAAGAAAGTTAACTCGTATGAATAAACAGTGTGAAAACAGTGTGATGTGGCTTCTAAAAATGAATATAATAGTACTTTGAATTACTAGTGGCCTAGTTTCAAGTTGGAGTTATAAAAAATCTTTTACTCTAATATTCAGAATAAATTTTCATTATGGTCCTCATTGAAACAGAGTAATGATTCCTTGTAGATTGAAAAGCCATCAGAGGTTGTCTAGATTTCAGGCATTCAATTCAGTTGGTGATTGGATTTAAATAATTTCCCACCCTGAAATTCTAATTACTGTTGCCCAGGCACATTTAGACTTTTATGTTTTAAATCTCGAATGTAAACCAAATTTGTCTCTGACTCAGTTATGTATCCCCATTGCCTGGAATAGTGTCTGGCATTAGTAGGCATTCAGTAAATATTTGTTGAATGAATGATTATCTCTGTGTCTATTCTTTTCCCTCTTCCTTGACATTTCTGCCCTGCTAGGCTGCCATGTAAAATTGATTCATCTTTTTCCGTTCAGTTTAGGTATTGCCCTTTCTTTCACAGAGGTTTTATGCATTTCTAGATTTTCTTAGGTTAACCTGTTAACCGGGGAATTCCCTTTTTAATTACGCTACATATAACGGGCGCATACTCTTTCACTAGGATGTGTCAATACGTCACGCCCAGAGGATGTAATTTCATATTATTATTATTTTTTTATTTATACTTAAAATAAATGAAAAGACTATGAAATATATATATATATATATATTTGTTTATTTATATATAAAGCAGAAGGAAAATACAAAATTACAAATAGAAAAGAATACCAACAAAAAAATGGAAACATCGAATTAAAAAATTATAAATTTTACAAACAATTATAAAGATTACAAAAAAAATATATTTTTTATTTCGATACACAATAAAAAATATCTAAAAGTTAACAATTACAGAACAATAAAAGCACACAAATAAAATAGAAATATTGAGTTTAAAAAATTAAAATATAGATGTAAAAATTCAAAACTCAACTTCCGTGTGATATATTTTAAAACAATTGTTGATACATAGTGCTACCTTATAATCCAGACACCAGAATGTAGATTCTTTCCTAACACCTTTTTTGTAGCAAACTCGGCATTTCCTGGATTTAGTTTTTCCTATATCACTTTTCATTTGTTCTGGAAAATGCCTTTCAACTAAGCGTGATGGTTTAGATGTAGAGCTGTTTGTTGATGTCTTTGAGTGGGTTTTCACTATATTGTTATCTACCAGTTTCTCTACACACTCTATCAAAAAGTGTAATCGATCCAAATGACCTTTATTTTTTTTGTATATAATATATGCATTGAAGCAGCACATATCAATTAATCATAGAAAAAGTTTTTTATAGAATTTTTTTACTCTATTATGGGCAGCCGTGTTAGCCACCATAACTCCATCTCCCAAATCTACGCCGCCCATATTCTTATTATAATCCAGGACAACATTTGGTTTTTCTTGCCTTCCTCTCTTTTCAATCATTGTCTTTTCTTCATTATGAATAGAACTGAGCATCAATACCTCTTTTTTATCCTTCCATTTTAAAGCCATAAGTTTGTCTTTACATATGTTCATTTTTCTGTAATTTTTTTGTTTTTATTTCACTGGGGATTCAGACTCTGTTTATCCTCATTGTTCTAACAATGTTTGTATTGTTTTGACACAAGAGCTCAGCTAAATGAATTGACGTATAGAAATTATCTAAGTCCTATACCCTTTATTCAGTAAGTCATGTGTTAACTCCAAAACAATTCTTGTTGAACACGTCCACCACTCTCACTAGTGAAATTATACTGATTCCCTCCGTGTCTTAAATTCATGTCGAGACATGTATGAATGACTAATACATTTGTTGTTAAGAAATATACGTTCTTTTTCGTATACATTATTTATATTATGAAGAGCAGGGTAGAAATGTTTGAAGGTATGATTTTTTATTAATTTTAATAAAAATAGATTAATAGTTAGTTAATTATACAAAATACTGTTTTAATGTCTTTCTCTTTAGGGCCGGGAAGAAGATCCACATGAAGGCAAAATGTGAGTTTGTATGAATTATTGAAAAGGAAAAAAAACTGTAAACCCACTAATTGGGTAACCTTGGCCAAAAAATATTTAAAAAAAAAAAATTTGGTACTTTGGGGGCTCACTTAAAATTTATCTTATTTGACTTAGGAACTGCTGTTTAATTATTTTCTGAGGATCTAGTGATAAAGTGTTATTTTTAAATAATGAAGATGGCTTATACCTATATCTAACTTTTATATCACTAAAGACTCTTTAGTAAACATTACATTAATAACTATGAATGTCACATTTCCTCATATTTTTTATTTTCTTATTGGTATATTAATAGCATTATTTTGTTTTCATCGCCATGGTTTTATGTATTTTACCAGAGACCCAGTGCATGAATTTGTGCACCAGAGCAGTCCTTTGGCCTGGCCTGTGGGATCTGGCCAAAACTGCCTCTCTAACATCCCAGGAGGAGTCTCAGATTGCCAGAGGGCACAGGCCAGGCCGAGGGACCATATGGGTGCATGATTGGGGCTGGGGATATTGTTTCTCTCCTTTGCTCAAGGTATTTCCTAGGCCAGAAATCCCCTCCATTGTTTTTGGTTAATTCCTACTAAAGACTTAACTCATATATCACTCTTCCCAAGAAGTCTTCCTTTACTATCTATTCTCTACGGAATTGGTGTGCCCCTTCTCTGTTATTCCAAAAGTGCCCTGGGCACATAGTTTTCTTGCACTATGCTTTATTAGTTTTTCTACATTGTTTTTATAGTTATACAGTATTTGTGTCACTTTTTCTTATTAGTATGGGGACTTCCTAAAAAACAGATTGGTCTTTTTGTCAGGGGTACAAACTATTTGCATGAAATGTATACATGTTACATATAGGTAATGTATGAATGAAGAAACTCAAATCTAATCCTTTCAGAAAACGATATTACCAATTTATTCTCTAAACTTCATTTGCTGTCTCTTCTCTTTAGAATTCCCTTTTCCCCCTTTATTCTAGCTATATAAATAGGACTGGAGGTCATTTAATTAATATATATTCCCTGGAATATATAATAGAAATCCTGTTTTAACATTTGTAGTAAATAATCATTTAGATATAATTGAATGCAATATAGAACCTCATTACCTTTTAAGGCCACCCAGACTGCTCCAGATGTTGTATATTTGACTTTGAATTGATCATATTTGCATTGAGAGTCCCAGGAGATCTGTTAATGGCCTAGAGTTAAAGAGATAATTTAAAAGCTTAACTTTCCATCCATTCACATTTCATGTGAAAAGGTAAAAATTCAGTTACATTTTAATACTTTGATCAGTAATAGTATGGATAATTTAAAATAGTGTGGATAGCTTCTAAACCTTTAACATTGGATCGTAGGGCACGTATATTTTTATTCTGGTAGTATTTCTACTTTCCAATTTGCTCTTTAAGCCACTATTAAAAGCAATTGAAGATCCTAAGAATATATGGCAAAGTAGTAGAGAGTTGATCTGGAGTTGTCATCTATTAAGTCTTATTTTCTGATTTTCAGTAAACTCTGAATCAGCCTTATTTATTTATTTATTTTTGAGAACTTATCACATATGAAAATTCACTTTGAGAGAAATATGAGAATTTATACCTCTTTAAAAATTTTGGGTTTATAGTTGGCACTACCTATATCACCCCTTCCTTCCAATAAAAATAAAAGAGAACACTAGCTGTGATGTAAGGATGTATGTAACACTTTGTTATTATTAGGATTGAAATCATTGCTGTTTTGTATTGGTAATTAATATAGAAATTGTAGTTCATATTAGATTCTAATTTTTCTTGTTTTGTTGAATTTATGCATGTTTATAGTGTTGTAACTTACACATAAAAGGAATGAGATAATTGATCAGTTGTATTGCATTTATTTTGTCAGTTTGAATTATACTTAACAGCCAAAAATATTGTTCTCTTTTTAAGATGGTTCCATGGGAAAATTTCCAAACAAGAAGCTTATAATTTACTAATGACAGGTACTTGTATATTCACTTGCCTTTTCTGATGTCTTCATTTAAAAATACTTTAAAAAAGCAAACCAACTGTTTCATTATGTTATTTTGCCTTTATTATTCATTTGATATATATGCATATTGTAATTTCTTACCCAGCACTGAGAAACTTGTGTATTTGTTTTTTGGTGTTTTTTGTTGAAAGCTTACATGCAGTATAACAGTCAGTGAAGTATGTTTTCCTTCTGCCTCAGGCTCCTGTCCTCCAAAAGCAGCACCAGATGAGAGGGTTTTTTGTTGTTGTTTCTGAAGCTTTCTGTATCTTCCTTACCCCTAAACCACATGTGTCAAACACAAGGCCCACGGGCCAAATCCATCCTGCCAGGCCTTGCAATGTGGCCCGCACTGCGCTGTCATCACTGCACTCCACTGCGTTTCCATCACAATGACAGTTTATGACTGTTCAGTAAACCATTCGGCCCGCGATTTAGGCTGGATTTTAGATTTTGGCCCCTTCTCTGATTGAGTTCGACACCCCTACCCTAAACACACCTTCATACATAACCACCCCACACACACTCACAGAAACATACAACATTCTTTTTTTATTAGAATATATTTGGGGTGATTGTATCATATATGTATATATAAGCTTTCATTTCTCCTTTTTAATGATCATGAGCTTTCCATTTTGTATAAAAACCATAATTTATAATCATTGTTTTAATTGTTATTTTTTGCTATTTAGCTGCAGCAAATGTTATTGCGTCTATCTTTCTGCATTTATAGAACTATATAACTGGACTTTATTTAGAATATGTTATTTTGAACATTTTCCAAACTGTGGTTATAGAGATATGCAAAGTAACAACTGATTTGTGTTGTGGGTTTATATTTAAAACAAAAACTATTCTATCCTAAATATTGAAGACTTAAATTTAACTACCAAATATTTCGTCAGCAAACAATACGATCTAAAACAAGTTTACATGCAATCTATAATTTAGAATTCTTTGTTCTTTAAAAAACAACCAGAGTTCAAGAGTTTCTATGTTTTCTGTATGTGATAAATATACTACTGATTGTTAAAGATATTATCTGAGTTATTTTAAGCCATAAGGCATTGCATTTTAATATAGTTACTTCGTTGCTCTTCTGAAAAATTTGAGGCCGTTTTAGAACTGTTCAATTTTATTGTAAGGATGTCGGTTAACTAGGTTCAAAATAAAGAACATGATAATGCTATTTGGTAGTAATGAAGGCCAACTGCTCAACCAAAATGACATGCTATCAGCTTTCAATGAGACCAAAATACTTATTTTATGAATTTACTGAATTTTTGGTATAAGTTTATAGGTACACCACCAAATACTTGCACTCACTGTTGTTTTTAGGCATATAAAGTTGAAAGGAGGTAAACTTAATTTTTTTACATTAGTCTTTATTTTTATTGGATATGTGCTCTTTAAGAATCCTGTGATTTTTCTCTACTTAAAAATACACAAAAGTACTTGCATACACAATTTTGCATTAATTCCAATTCTTTATATTGAACATGAAATGACTTAGTAGTGAGTGCCTGGGTGGAAAGATTGGAACAATTTGTAATTTACATAAAAATTAAGATATTTTGAGTGTTTATTGTGCTTTCCTTAAAGCAAGCAAGTTCTGATCTATGTCATTAGGATTTAAACAGAGAGAGGGCAAATGCATCTTAATGTTGAGTCACTGCCAATTAATCAAAAAAACTTCTCTAAAATTAATATATAATGATTTGCTTCTATATGACTTTTCAGGACTGTTCCTATTGAATGAAATATAGTGCATATGTATTGATTTTTATAAGTTGAGCAAATATTTCAACTGTTTTGAATTTACCTTTGTAAGCTTTTGCTACCATTTTATTATAGTCACTATTTTTTAGTTTTTAATCAGAAGTATTGATAAAGTACAGAATACTCTTAAGCATTTTTCTTTACTTAGTGGTTTTACCAAAAATGTGGCATTTTTAACTAATATCCCTTAACTGTGCTTAGATTATTTTTTCTAAGTTTGACAGGTATTGACATTAACCAAAGTCACTGTTGCAGGCTTCTGTTATGTATTCATATATAATAAAGACAAGCAACGTCAAGGGTTTTGTGACTTATAACTAGAAAATTTTTTTTTTAAGTCTTAAGATTATCTTTATTATAAAATAAGTTCCTGGTGAAAATTAATATGCGTTTATTATTTTTTATTGTACTTTTGTAATTAATGCTTCTTTTTATTTGATAATTAGGGAATAAAACTAACAGCTTAATTTTTACAGTTGGCCAAGTCTGCAGTTTTCTTGTGAGGCCCTCAGACAATACTCCTGGTGACTATTCACTTTATTTTCGGACCAATGAAAATATTCAGCGATTTAAAATATGTCCAACACCAAACAATCAGTTTATGATGGGAGGCCGATATTACAACAGGTAAGTTGAGAGAAATTTTTTAGTTTTCTGTTACTTTTGCAAAAATAGTCGAAATCTCAGTAGTATAACTATATAAATTAATATTTCTGACTTTTTAAAATCTGAAGTTAAAAAGCCTTTAATAATTGAGTAGTAATGTCCAAGAATTCTTTAGACATGAATATAAACTAATAACTTATTTTCCTCAAATTTATACAATTTTTTTTATTATTATGAACAAGCTAATTTGATTTGCTATATCATTATCTGTAGGAGAGCAAAACACTTCAGAAAGGAAAATTCATTCTTTTATCAGGCATTTTAATAAGAAAAAATTTCTTAAAGAGTAACCACTACAAATGTAGTTGGATTGTTCTTACTACAAACGTAATTGGATTGTTCTCAAATTTGATATTTCTTATTTGTAATTATGGTTCCTATTTCTCATCTTTAAAATTCTAAGTAAACTCTTTGCATGTCCCAAAACTTATTGTAGAATGGATTTTAGTCCCCTGATTAGGTAACCTATAATAATAAAAGCATAATATGCTAATTAGACTGGACATCCTTCTGGATGACCTTCCGGGATTCTTCTGGGCGAAGCTGGGGCTTCCAGGGAAGCCCGGGTCCTGAGTCCGTGCAGGCGGCCAGAGGGAAGCCCAGGTCCCGGGTGCCAGAGGGAAGCCAGTGCCAGCAGCCGGGGGAAGGAAGGCCAACTCTTACAAATTTCATGCATTGGGTCTCTAGTAAGTTAATAAAGAAACCACATGCCAGGATGTCACCTATTTTTGCACAACAGAAAGTCATCTTTCATTTTCTTTCTTTTTTTTTTAAATTAAATTATTATCTGTGTACATATCTTACCATTGCTCTCTCCCTCCCATACATACCCTCCCTCCCCAGAGTTTTGTGTGTATTGGTTGTACTTATATGCATGTGAACAAGTCCTTCGATCGATCTATTATCTCCTCCAGATCTCCCTACCCTCCCCGCTGTAATTTGACAGTCTGCTTGTTGCTTTTTCATTTTATTTCTGACTATAAAGGTTTTCCCTTACCGTGAAACTTCATACAGTATCATTCTTTGTTCATTTAGAATTTCTCCCAATTCTAGCTTGACCTTTGAGTATATAGGGATTCAGGAGCTGGTTTATTTGGAAAACATGAACAAAAAAACACACACCAAAACCAGTTCTTATTGCTTGTGAGATGTTCACTAGACACTTACAAAGCATCAGATGGAACTTGCAAGTCTTGACATATCTTTTGTGCACCTTACAAATAATCTGCTGAGTACTTTCTACATTACATTCTGATCTAGACATCCTCACTGAATAGCTAGCTAGTTGCAACTTGAGCCCTTTAGAAAGGTAAATTAATTTTCCCCATTGTCCAGTTTTCTGGGGATTTGGAATCTATAAAACTGAATTTTAAACACATACTCTTAACTGAATCGATAAATGCTTAACTTGAGACTTTTCTAAAAGATAAAATAATTGCCTTGGCCTGTGGCTCTGTTGGTTGGAGTATTGCCCTGTACACCAACTGATTGATGTTTCTCAAAATCATTAATAAGCCTTAGAATAATCCTACATGTAAGATTAGTTCCTATTCTTTTTCTTTTTCTTTTTTTTTCTTTTAATATTTTATTGATTTTGTACAGAGAGGAAGGGAGAGAGATAGAGAGTTAGAAACATCGATGAGAGAGTCATCGATCAGCTGCCTCTTGCACACCCCCTACTGGGGATATGCCCGCAACCAAGGTACATGCCCTTGACCGGAATCGAACCTGGGACCCTTCAGTCCCCAAGCCGACACTCTATCCATTAAGCCAAACCGGTCTTGGCAAGCTCCTATTTTTTTTCTTCTCTGCTTTCATCTGTTATTTATGTTTTATGACCTAACTTTACATTATTATTATAAAAGCAGAATATGTAAATGTTTTGATGATAAAAATTTAGTTTACTACTTGCTAATTCACTACTTGCTAATAAATAAATGGCATTTCTCTGTTCCTTTCAGTTTCAGAAATACTCTTATTAAAAATTTAAAAAATAAACCTTTAATTCTTTTCTCACTTAATAGTGACTTTTAAGTATGTGTATAAAAAATGGAATCTCTGACTAAGATATCCTGATTGTAAACCAGTATTGGGAACATTCTTATTTTTCTAAAATAATATGACCATTATGATTATATAATCTGTTAATGTATTCTGATTATATGCTTTGGAAAAACTTGCAAATAGATCACCTTTACTATGAGACAAGTGATTTCAATGTAAGTAATTTTTATTTTAACAGTATTGGGGACATCATAGATCACTATCGAAAAGAACAAATTGTTGAAGGATATTATCTTAAGGAACCTGTACCAATGCAGGTCAGTGTTGTTTGTCTTTTTGCAATAATTAGCATTTTATTTCAAAATGCATTTTTGGTAATATGTGTATGTACACACTCATGCATTTAAAATTGGGTTGAATTTAAAAGTTTAAATTTTTCCTGATGTCATACTTCTTTTTGTAATTGGGGCAGGGGGAGTGGTTAGCAGTTAAGACATATTATTCCTAAAAGCCACAGTGTTATGTGTTGTTATGTAGTAAAAACCACAGAGTAATGGGTAGGAAATATGTGGTTAGGCACACAATACTAAAACTTCATCAGTGACACTTAAAGAACTGTATCCTAGTTTTTATACATATTAAGTGTTAATAAATGAACACTACAATAAATATGGCATTTTACCCTGAAAAAGGTCAGGTTTACTTGTGGCAGTCACAATTGGAAGGGTTTTGAATATTGTGAGGTGGCAAGAAGTGGATTATCTGAAATAGATGGCATTATAATACCAGATGTGGATAGATGGGTATGGCATATACCACTTGGATCACTGAGGGGATCTGAGTGGTGTTTTGTATATTCCCCCATGTTTCAATCAGCTGGTTGCAGTTTTCTGCATTTACGGAGTGTATCTCACATATGTATTTGTACATATAAGCAAACAGGACCTGCTTTATGTTTAAATTGGTTCCTGATTTTTCATTATGTTGGGACAAATTCAAGTTTTTTAAATGTCATTTGCTGTAAAATATAACAAAACCAACTGTATAGTAGTCCCCTCTTATCCAAGGGGAATATGTTTCAAGTCCCCCCAATGGATACCTGAAACTGTAGATAGTATCAAACCCTGCTATTTTTTCCTAAACATACCTATCATAAAGTTTAGTTTATAAATTAGGTACAGTAAGAGATTAACAACAATAACTAATAAACTAGAACAATTGAAACAATATATAAATCTATATATTTATATCTATCTATCTTATCTATCTATCTATCTATCTATCTATCTATCTATCTATCTATCTATCTATAAAACGCTAAGCGACCAGAATGTGCACTGCAGCAGCCAACCAGCCTGACTGGGGCCCTTGTTGGACCTCCCAACGGCCCTCAGCTCCTTCCCCACCCCCACCTCCAATCGGCCCCCCCCACTGATTGGGCAGAGGATTGGCCAACCTCCCATGTCCCCTCCCTCCCATCAGCCTGGCCAGATTGTCCCCCCACAATGGGGCAAGTAGCCCGACCCCACCTGTGCATGAATTTGTGCACTGGGCCTCTAGTATTGTAATAAAAGTTATGTGAATTTGGTCTCTCTCAAAATATTTTATTGTACAGTATTCACCTTGTGATAATGTTGAGATGATACAGTGTCTACATGATGAGATGAAGTGAGGTAAATGACATAGGCATTGTAACTTAGTGTTAGGCTACTAGAAGGGTTACTTGAAAACAAGAACTGTGATACCTCAACAGTTGATCTGAGATGGCTAATGGGCAAGAAGCAGATGTAGCGTGGATCACTGGACAAAAGTCCTAGGTGGGATTTCATCACAGTACTCAGAATAGCATGCAATTTAGAATTGTTTCATTTATGGAATTTTCCATTCAATATTTCTGAATAGTGATTGACTGCAGGTAATTGAAAACATAGAAAACAAAACCAGAGATAAAGAGGGACTACTGTATTTTTGAAAATAGGTAATTAGTTGTCTGTGTTTTTGAGAATGGTAAAGAAATGTTTTTGAGAATTTCTTTGGAAAGCAAATGACCTCTTAATTTATGTGTTACAATCATTTAGATTTTAGTACTTAAAACATTTTCTTAATGTCTAGATAGACACATAATCTGGTTTTTAATTTGTAGTTGAGTATATTTTATTTAATTTCAATCAAGAATTCTTGAAACAATTTTAATACTTTTAAAAACTCAGGATCAAGAACAAGTACTCAATGATACAGTGGATGGCAAAGAAATATATAATACAATTCGTCGAAAAACAAAAGATGCCTTTTATAAAAATATTGTTAAAAAAGGTTATCTTCTAAAAAAGGGTAAGTGTAAACTTTTAAAACTAATGATTCAATTTCAGTAACTTACTATTTACAATAGAAGCATTGTACTTACATTGAGATATGTTATTTAATAAGTTTTTTTGACCAGAAATATTAGTAATTGACCCTTAACTAGAGAGCTTTTAAAGTTTTAGAAAACAAGCTTATGTATTTCCAATTATGTCTTTTAATCCTGAGTTCATTTCCAGTGCTAGGCATTTGATTCTTTACCTCCTTCTTACCTCATAACACCCCCACCCCCATCCCCATTTTTTAAAAGAGAAACTTAGCACATTCATGGTATTGATTATTGTATAGATTGGCCTCCATCTGACATTGAGAAATGTTAGGGGGTTGAAAGGACACATGGTTAGTTGAAGAGTTTTATTTTTAATTGTAGTTGTGTGTTTTTTTATGACTGAAAGAAATTACTCCTAAATAAGAATTTTAAATAGTTTATCATAATAAAATTCCCAAAGATATAGTTTAAATATCCTTGTCATTTATTCTGATTCATTAAAAAGTAATTTAGTTTTCTACAGATAAATTATAAACATTTTCTCATTTTATAAGTATTAGTATGTTATTTAAGCTTTGGAATAAAATTGAAATCTTTTCTTTTCAGCAATGATAATTATGATTTTAATATATATATGACTTAATCATTCATCATTTTGCTAAGGGAACTTTTCTTTTTCTGACAGGCAAAGGAAAACGGTGGAAAAATTTATATTTTATTTTAGAGGGCAGTGATGCCCAACTTATTTATTTTGAGAGTGAAAAACGAGCTACAAAACCAAAAGGATTAATAGATCTCAGTGTATGTTCTGTCTATGTTGTTCATGACAGTCTCTTTGACAGGTAAGAAATTGGTTTCTTGTTTCTTTTGTAACTGTCTTTATTATTAAAAATAGTGGGTGTGTTCAGATCATTTGAAATCATAGCAAATGAAATTTGAGAGTCGTAAAATCATCTGAAAATGTCAGATATACTTTCTAGGGTAATTTTTCTCTTCCTTACTTTAGACTAATCTATGCATAAAATTCTACTCCACTGTATTAGGTAGAACTTTGGAACGACATTTCTCATAGTAAGACTTGATCTGTGTATGGAATGTTTCTTCCCGTCCCTATTAAGTATTATAACTTATTCTTTTTTTTTTTTTTTAATATATTTTTATTGATTTTTTTACAGAGAGGAAGGGAGAGAAAGAGAGAGCTAGAAACGTCAATGAGAGAGAAACATCGACCAGCTGCCTCTTGCACATCCCCTACCGGGGATGTGCCCGCAACCAAGGTACATGCCCTTGACCGGAATCGAACCCGGGACCTTTCAGTCCGCAGACCGACACTCTACCACTGAGCCAAATCGGTTTTGGCTTAAGTAACTTATTCTGAGTCTCGTTATTTTCCCCTTATTTTATCACATTCTCTGTTAACTTAGTGCCTCTGATCGTAGTACGGTAGGTGTATAGTCATTTGAACTATTAACTTGATAGGCGTCTTTCTAAGTAATTTGACATTGAGAAACAATAATAATATATTAAAACCCTGGGTCCGTCACATCCACAATGACCAGGAGGCTCGACCAATCAGAAGTCAGTCCTGTAGTCTGCACTGGGTTTCCTTGGCAACCCAACACTGACTGCTATGTCTGCAGGCATAGTGACCCAGAACCAACTGCCTAGGGGCTGCCAATCAGGTCTGGAGAGAGGCCCGAATAGAGAAGCAGGGACTGACCTGTAGCCTCTGTGGCTGCTGTTGATCAGCACTTGCCTCTTTCTTTCCAGGCTTGGTCAACAGCCATGCCTCTGTTTCTCTCCAGGCCTCCACCGGGGCTGCTGATCAGCCAGCCCTGCCTTTCTCATCAGGCCCTATTGATAGGCCCAGAGATGCTGACTGGCATAGAAACCGACCAATCAGAATCAAATCTGGGTTAAGTGTGAGGAGCCAATGGCTGCCTAGGAGGCAGAGCTTTTAAAGCTGACTGGCATAGAAACAGACCAATCAAACCAAACTGGCTGGCAGAGGAGGGCAGTTGGGGACAAGATCAGGATTGTATCAATAGAAGAGGGCAGTTTGGAGTGAGATCAGGCTGGCAGGAGAGGGTAGTTAAGGGTGATCAGGCAGGCAGAGGCAGTTAGGGGCTATCAGGTCAGCAGGGAAGGGCAGTTGGGGGGGGGGCAATCAGGAGGCAGAGGAGCAATTAGGTGTTAATCAGGCTGGCAAAGGAGTGGTTAGGGGTGATTAGGCTGGCAGGCATTAGTGGTTAGGGGCAATAAGGCAGGCCGGCAAGTGTTTAGGAATTAGCAGTCCTGGATTGTGAGAGGGATCTCCAACTGCTGGTTTATTTGGCCTAAACCGGCAGTTGGACATCCCTTAAGGGGTCCCAAATTGGAGAGAGTGCAGGCTGGGCTGAGGGAAACCCCTCACCCCCCCATGCACGAATTACCTGCACCGGGCCTCTAGTATAAAAATAATTGTTTCAGTAGAATATCTCAGATTTGATAAAACATTTTTATTATCCTAATTTCTTATATTTTTTTGTTTAAATATATTTTATTGATTTTGTACAGAGAGGAAGGGAGAGAGAGAGAGAGAGAGCTAGAAACATCGATGAGAGAGTGTCATGGATCTGCTGCCTCTTGCACACCCCTACTGGGGATGTGCCCACAATCAAGGTACATGCCCTTGACCGGAATCGAACCTGGGTCCCTTCAGTCCCCAAGCCGACGCTCTATCCCTTGAGCCAAACCGGTTTCTGCTATTATCCTAATTTCAATGTTTAGAAAAATATATAAAATGTAAAACTAAATCCTGAACATCACAAGGCAAATCCAGCTCGATTACATCTAGGTTTTTTTTTCTCAAGTATAAGAGCCTTTCTTTACCTTCCATCATTTGTATTATCAGTATCCCATTTTAGAATCTCTTTAGATATATTTGCCATTTTTATTTCTTTCTGTTATGATTAATAAAACACAAAGTAATTAAAACAAAGTTTTTTAGCCACTTGTTTTTCTGCTGCAGGATGTCATTTCTCGTAGGCAAATCTAGTTTTATCCTAATTAAATTTGTAAAACTACATGAGAATTACCTATAGAGCGACAATTTTGTCATTTCTTTTTTCCAAATTGTTTTGGAGATCCCAGTAGTGTTATTGATGAGTTTAAGAGATGTCCTTCATAGGACAATCAATTTTTTAAAATGATTAAAATAGGTTTGTGAAATGCTGAACTGAACAGTTTCCCTTCAGCAGGGAGTTTTGGAGTCTTGGCTAGTGCTTATAATGTGAATTATTAAAAGTAGAGTATAATATTAAGTATTTCCTAATTTACTTGATTGATACCTTCCCACCATTTTTCTAAATATTTCATAATATCTCATAAAAATAGTTATTCCAAAAAGTAAAAAAAAAGGAAAAAAAGTTTTGGTAAAACACCGGCTCCTTTTTAGCTTTCTGCTTTGCCTTCCTTTGTGGGTGCTGGATTCTTTCTCTCAGAGCAGCTTCCTTCATGGTACCAAGGTGGCAAATAGTATCAGAGAAAGCAGTGAGCATTCCCTCCAGATCTATTAGAAGTCCAGAGAATAGGAGTGAGCCACCTCTGACAGTTTCTAGTCTTGGGTTACTTGAGGTAGCAAAAGAATGGGAGACCATTGAGTGCCCAGCCCTACCACTGGGGACCATCCCACCCATACAGTGAGGAGGATTTTTCTATGGGGATTGAAATGGATGTCAGAGAGATAATCACACTGCATCTTCTATGTGCTATCAGTAGTTGCAAGAGGGAAGAGAATTTGGAGACTAGCTTATTGAGATGATTAATATGAAATAGGTGGTTTAAGCTATTGGAGGATAAGTGTGAATCTATTTAAGGAAGGCAGAGCTTCAATATGTCATGAATAAGTTATAGCTGTTCTTAAAATATTAGTGGTTGTAAAAGTTGTACTTAAAATATTAAAACAGACATTTTACATTTAAAAAGTTATAACATTTGAATTTATATGGTTCTATAAAGTGTTAGAATTCATTGTTTTATTGTGGCAAAAGAATTGGTACATAATACCGTTGACAGAAAGTTCTCTATAGAGGCCATACCTCAGTACTTCTGACTTTCTTATTGAATCACCCAGATACTCTGAATATTATTTTATTCACTGTTTTTTGTTAATCATCAATGAAGTTAACTTTTTATGTTCATGTGTAAAATTTAGTTTTATTTTGTTTTTATACATTTTTTTCTATTAATACAGAAGTTAAAATTGTTTGCATTACTGTAAAATATAAGGGATTTCTTGAAAAACTTAATTTATGTTATGTTAATGTACAAGTATTCGTTTTCTCACCATACTATAAAGGCAATTTGGTGTTTAAAACTGGCAAGTCATTAAATTTATAAGACAGAAATAGTAGTTTTAATTTTAAAAATTCAATCCATTAATTAGGTCACTTAATAAGAAATGTATAGAATTTAGGTAAAGTCCAGTAAATATTCTCTTCCTCATCTTAAATATTGCATAAAAGTTATTGAATAAATCATCAGTGGCAAGTACATTGTGCTGGCACCATACTGCTAAAGAATGGTGAGCTTCAAAGACACCAATCTCTCCCCTCCTCCGAATCTTCTTTTCTCATATATCTGTTCCTGCAGTATCAGGTTACACTTGTTAAGAGATCATGCAATTGCAGCTAAAGCTAAAATCAAAAATGCTTCCTAGAGCTGAAGAATTGCTTGTTTTACCAGTCTGTATGAAAACTGCCAACTCTGTGGCCAAAAATCAAAAGGACTAGGAAAGATACCACTTGTTTCAAATAGTATTAGACTGTGTGTTCTGATTAGGATTGTCAGTAAATAAATTGAAAGGTACAGATTGCTTTTTCCCTGCAGATTTGTAAGTAAATTATTGGTCATTCAAAGAAACTAGGAAGATACTATGTAAATAGTATTTTAAGTTTCTGATTGGTGATGAGGCTTCAAGATAGGAATATTTAAAGGATTTACATAAAAAAATCATTCTGGAAAATAAGCAATACAGAGATGCTCTGATATGTAATAGTTTGTACACCTGAATTCCACCTGAAATATTTTTACATAGAGCCTAATAAAATCCATGCTGTTTTAGCTGCATGTTTTTAATTTTATGGGAAGAAATGGGATCAGTATACCACTGACCTGTTTGATACTAAAGTATATAAGCTATCTAAAGCAGTGATCACCAATCTTTTGGAACTCACAGACAACTGGTTGGCAACCGCTGATCTAAAGTTTATGATCTAGAACACATGTGTTAAACACAAGGCCCGCGGGCCAAATCCGTCCTGCCAGGCCTTGCAATGTGGCCCGCACCACGCTGTCATCACTGCACTCCGCTGCGTTTCCATCACAATGACAGTTTATGACTGTTCAGTAAACCATTCGGCCCGCGATTTAGGCTGGATTTTAGATTTTGGCCCCTTCTCTGATTGAGTTCGACACCCCTAATCTAGAAGAAGAAAACTTTGAGGAGTGATTCTCACTTTGCAGATTTATTGAAGAATGAGTAAACTTCCTCAAACTTAAGTTGGAAGTACAACACAAAAAGATACTAACATGTTCTGAAAGTTTTTGGATTCAAGACAGAAATTCAACTTTGGAAAAGTGAGATTAAAAATGGTTCACTAATAGTAGTTATAATTTGAATAATATGAATCTTAAAGAATTAAGATCAATAAGTCAACATCTATATAGTTTGAGGAAAAGCTTTACCATTTTGATGTACTATATATATGAACCTGCAACTGGATTGAAAACCCGTTTGTAGTATCAAAAGAAAGGTCAACATTAGATTTGCCAATTAAAGAAAAGACTTCTAGAGTTAAAAGATCAGATCTTTTAAATGCAATTTTAAAAGATAAAATTATTCCTCTTCTGGTTAATGATATTAAGGAGTTTTTGTGAAATAGGGTAAAGCAGTAAATACACATTTACCATTTGCTACCAGATCAGTGGTAAAGTGATCTATATATGAAAAGGTAAAGCTTTTCCTTAAACTATATAGATGTTGACTTATTGATCTTAATTCTTTAAGAGGTCATGCAATTACAGCTAAAGCTAAAGCCAAAAATGCTCCCTAGAGCTGAAGAATTGCTTGTTTTACCAGTCTGCATGAAAACTGCCAACTCTGTTTGAGGCCAAACACAGAGTTTACAAAATGGTAAAGCTTTTCCTCAAACTACCGAGTTTCTCCGAAAATAAGACCTACTTACAGGTTTCCTCTGAGTGAAATATAAGGCATCCCCTGAAAATAAGGGCCCCCCCAGGCGAAACATGAGAGATTTGGTCCACTGATTCTGAAAGAAATGGGACTCACAAGAAATTCAGCAGGAAATTCAGGAATTGGATTGTTATGATGATGTTCCAGAAGATGATGACATGATTGTCATTGAATAAATGAGTAAATTCTTGATACTGTAGGATTCAGTTTGTCTGGTTTATGTTGACAACTACCGTACTACCGTACCGTATACAGATAAGAAATTTCCTTTGTTTTCATTTAACAATAAATGTGTACCGTATTCTTCTTCATGGAAAAATAAGACATCCCCTGAAAATAAGACCTAGCGCATCTTTGGGAGCAAAAATTAATATAAGACACTGTCTTATTTTCGGGGAAACAGGGTATATAGATGTTGACTTATTTTTTTATTTTTATTTTTAATATATTTTATTGATTTTTTTTGCCCCCCTCCCTCCCTCCAACACATCTCCTCCCTCCCCAGAGTTTTGTGTCCATTGGTTGTACTTATATGCATGTATAAAAGTCCTTCGGTTGATCTATTATCTCCCCCAGATCTTCCTCCCCTCCCCGCTGTAATTTGACAGTCTACTTGTTGATATACTGTCTCTATATCTATCTTTTGGTTCATCAGATGATGTTGACTTATTGATCTTAATTCTTTAAGATTCATATTATTCAAATTATAACTATTATTAGTGAACATTTTTAATCTCACTTTTCCAATATTTACCACTGAAATATTTTTACATAGAGCCTAATAAAATCCATGCTGTTTTAGCTGCATGTTTTTAGTTTTATGGGAAGAAATGGGACCAGTATACCACTGTCCTGTTTGATATCAAAGTATATAAGCTATCTAAAGCAGCGATCACCAATCTTTCAGACCTCACAGACAACTGGTTGGTGCACAAATTCATGCATGGGTAGGGTTCCTCAGCCTGGTCAGCATTCGGGGCCTAGTGGGGCCATCTCATCCAGTCCCTATTGGGGTCGATGGGGGCCAGCCAACTGGGTGGAGGGACTGTAGGAGGTTGGCTGAATGTGGAAAAGACATAAACTATTTGATAATGTACAATATTTACATGTTAAGTTAATTACAGTACAGTGCGTACTACAGCTGGGCACAAACTAGTATTTACTGTAATCCATTGTTAGGTCATTTAATTTTCAGAATAAGCATATCCATGAGTAGATGATGATTCCATTTTACAAGGTGAGGAAAATTGTCAGTTGTAAAAGATTTAAAAGTACATAAATTATAAATAAGAAAATGAAAATTAACTCATCCACTGAGAGAGAACCAGTAAGAACACTTTTGGTCTACAAATATGTTTATAGCCTTTTTCCAGTGCAGATAAAGGTATATTTTATATCATCCTGAAGCAGAGTTTAGTAACATTTTATTTACTTTTTTTTGGAATAACTATGTGCAATTCTGACATTTCTGCTTCAATTTCTTTGTAAGTTTTCTATTTCTAATGTCCTTTAAAATTTATACAGTAGCTTAAATTTTTTTTAATGAAAGATTAATAAAATTTAAAAATTTCTGTCTAAAAAGTGCAACTGACATTTTCTTTTTAGTAATGATATGGTACAATGGAGAATTTCTCTAAATTAAGAATTATGTTTATTTTATATATTGCGATTTTTTTTAAAAAAGTAGCTTAAGCTAGTAATACTTTTTGTTAAGCTTCCTAATAACTTTTTTGTTTGTATTTAAAGGCCAAACTGTTTTCAGATAGTAGTTCAGCACTTTAGTGAAGAACATTACATCTTTTACTTTGCAGGCGAAACTCCAGAACAAGCAGAGGTAAGTTAATTGTTTCTTCAGTGTAAACACTTAGCCCATGCTTTTTTTTATTTTTTTATTTTTTTTATTTTTCAGTTACATTTAACATACAGTATTAAATTAATACAGGTGTGTGTGTGCGCGCGCGCATATATATATATATAAAGAGAGAGATTAGAAATGTATATACTTCACAAGCCTTTGTTTTGTGATAAAAAGGATGTCTGAAATGTAATCATCTTTTTATTTTAAAGAATGAGAACTTTCAAATACAAAACTTTAAAAAAAAAAAACGCAGAAAAACACAGTGAAGGGTTATTAGGAATGAAAACTCCATTTTAAATTGATCTTTAAATATTCTATGATGTTGAATCCAACTGAGAATGCTCATTTAAAATCCTCTCTGCAGAAATGTTATAGATATTCTCAGTACAATCAAAAGGCAAGCCAGTTAGTTTTGCTCATAAGTGTTGTTATTTTTCACTGGTTGAATTCCATATCCAAAAATAGAAGTTCTGTCTTAAGAAAGAAAACTATTTTAGGAGTTCTCTTAATCTTTCTTTCTGGACTAGCCAATGATCTATGTTTAATGCCCTTCTAAAAAACTTTATTAAATTTTAAGAAATACTTGAATAATGTTTTTTTTTTTAAATCTCCTTTTACGATATTTTGAGTTCTTTGAATCATATTTCCTGGTTTTTAGTGTTATTTTGTGGAAATATGGCTGTATTTCTGCTTATATTCTATGGGAGGAACTTGAAAGTGGTTAAGAGGTCAAAGAAAGCAACTACTTTGTAAACGACTTTATTGCAAATAGAAGGTAATTTGCCAACATTGGATTTGAGGCAGATGCTGTGTATCCTTTAATAGTTTATGAAAATATCCATTAATAAATTCTGAAAATACCTTTGACTCTAGAATAAACTTGATGAATGAACCATTGTTTTATGATTCATAATCAAGTCATAGTTCAAATTTTTGCAAGATATCTGAAATACTCAGCATATAACACAAAAACATTGTGTGTGTGTGTGTGTGTATATATATATATATGTGTGTGTGTGTATATGTTTGTATATATATATACACATATACATATGTGTATATATATATATACACGAGTGTGTGTATATATATATACACATATACATATATATATATGTGTGTGTGTGTGTGTGTGTGTGTGTGTGTGTATAATCTCCCTAAATTTTTATTAAATGTAGATGAAAAAGTCGGGCTCAAAACATTTGGTAACTTTTTTAAAATATTAGAAATTGAATTGGGAAAGAAATATGAACTCCACTATCCCATCTCCTAGTTATTTTACCATGTCCTCTTTCTAAATAGAGATGTGTTACATACCTTGATATTTCAGTATGTTTTACATGTCTCACCAAGCTGTATGAATAGAACATTTTCTTACTGCATTTCTATATACTCTTTCTATATTCTGTATTTCCAAATAGGTACTAGGGTCCAAAATATCACTGCTGTTTCCAATTTTCATTACTTTGGTGGCTCTCTTTTGGTTACTCTCTTCTATTTTTTAAAAATTGATTTCAGAGAGGAAGGGAGAGATAGAGATAGAAACATCAGTGATGAGAGAAAAACATTGGCCGGCTGCCTCCTGCATACCCCACACTAAGGATCAATCCTGTAACCCAGGCATATGCCCTGACTAGAAATTGAACTGTGACTTCCTGGTTCATAGGTAAACTCTCACCTACTGCTGGGCCTCTCTTCTATTCCTAAAAGCTGTAATTATTTATTTGATCTTAATTTGCTCAATTATAAAGATGTTCTCTAAACATTGACAAAGTTCAGGTTCATTGAAATAGTCTACAAATTGAGGAAATAATTGAGTAAAAACAATGGTATATAAAGCTTTCTAAAAACATGTACTCCAAGGTAAAATATTTAGATTTATTTTTGATAAATGTAAAATTTATCCTTTTTGCAGAGCACTAGATGGGTTAAACATTTTTAAAGGTAGCTATAATTAATTTGGATATTAGGCTGACCATTTTTAAATCTAAGGTTATATTTTAAACACATATATAATTCAAATACCCTTATATATTTCTACTTATTTCATAGTCCATAACTTAGTCATTACATTATCCACTGGTTTTGCAGTCAGCCCTCCTTTCATAAAATACACAAGTTAATTTTGCTTTAGGTATCTCAAGTGTAACAGTTTACCTATTCAAAAAAAAAATTTTTTTTTTTTGGCTAATTAATGACCCCTTATTTGTACTCTTAACATTAATTTAGAAAATCTATAGCAACACAAGTTTTTCAGAATTAAACTTTTTAAATCATTGTTTTACTTTATTGGGGTACAAGTATATTACAGTACTGTGAGTTTAAAATGGCAATCTCAAGAAGGAAAGAATATTAAGAAAACAAATTGATGATTGGAAATTAAATAAGCTATACTACTGTATATTTCTTTGAACTGCTGTTATTTCTTATAGGATTGGATGAAAGGTCTGCAGGCATTTTGCAATTTACGGAAAAGTAGTCCAGGGACATCTAATAAACGCTTGCGTCAGGTGAAACTTAATTTTCTTTGATTTGTGATTCACATTTTGTTTTATCACTTTGTTCTTTATTTTTATTACAGTATGAACTGTTTTGGTCAGTATTTGATATACTTTTAGAGTTCTTAAGATAAATTAATCTTGTCAGGCATTTTAAAGCTCCCACTTGCTTCAGAAGCTGGAGAAATAATTATTTCTTTACAAAAGAGAATGTTGCATATATAATGGGATCTTTTAAATACATTATCAAGGTTGTTTTTTTCCCTCCACTCAAAACAATACCAAACCAACAGTAACAGAAACTATTCTGTTGGGCACTTTTTTTTCCCTTAAAAATGCCTATTTCAAAAATGAGGAACTAAAAGTACTTAGTGAAAAGATCTTCTTACTTGAATTACTAATCCCAATATTTTAGGTTTTTCATTTTATAGGAATTATTTTTGAAATGTTACTTCATAACTCTTTGGTAGTATCCTATTCTATTTTACTTGAAACATTAACATGTCCTGTGTATTCATTCATATAGAGTTAGGATAGGCTCTTCTTTTAAAGTGTTTAAAGTCAACTTTATATCCTCCATTTCCTTTTTTTTCTTCATAGTTATCCCTAGATAATTGGCAAAATATCAAGAAATTTTAACATGCTTGGATTTTCAGAGAGATTTTAGTACAGTATTTATTGATCAAAGTGACTCTTGTTTTATTTGTAGAAATTTTCCAATAAGCTTGATGATTTGAACATATTGTTCTATTGGAAATGGATGTTAATATTTAATTACTATTTTATATTCCTTGGAACAAGAGACTGACTCCCCAAGGAAATTTATACACATAATCACTATGTGCTCTCAAAATATATTTTAACATTTTGTAAGCAATAGAAAAGCATGTTGAATTTTTATATACTGTCTTGTATGAAATTTTAGCCATGAAATGATCACTTTTTGGTATAATATGCTATAGCTAATAGCTCTTGAACCCTCCTTATGCTTTACACATATTGAATGTTTACAGCAACTTGCAGTGCAAACTTTGTTTTAATTTTATGTCTGAGGAAGGTGAGGCTCAGAGAAGCGACTTGCCCAAGGCAGGTAATAGGTGGCAGGAGGGAAAATAAGACCTGATACTAGAAGGTATTTGGTCTAAGTATTGGCATCAAAACTAACAAATAACTATTCTATTTTGGATCTATATCCTTTTCTATAGAATGAAAAGGTAGAATCTTGTTTTAAAAATATTTTAAAGCTGTGGAATTCTTTTTGAAATTAAATCTTTCAGATGAGCATTATATAAGAAATAGGATTTTGATTTGAGTCTTGACAGTTTACTTAAGTTAATAAAGAATCCTCTTCTTTTCTCTGAACCATGGTTTTATATTAGAAGGTCTACTTCATTATTTCTGCAAGAATATAATTGGAATAATTTATAAAACAAAATTACAGTTATAGTAACTGATTTTGAAACAATGCATAATTTTTGAAATCTGGTGTAACAATTTTTGTGCTTTCTTTAGGTCAGCAGTCTTGTTTTACATATTGAAGAAGCCCATAAACTCCCAATAAAACATTTTACCAATCCATATTGCAACATCTACCTGAACAGTGTCCAGGTAGCAAAAACTCATGCAAGGGAAGGCCAAAACCCTGTATGGTCAGAAGAGTTTGTCTTTGAGTAAGTCTTGTTTTATCATTACATTAAATCATTTTCTTTTATCATACTGCATTTTCATTCCTTTTTTTTTTTTTTTTTTTTTTTTTTTTTGGTCTCTACATCTAAACTATCAGAACAGGGAACCAAGTCCAGTCATTTTATTACTACTTTCAGCCACCACCCCTCTCCCCCGACCCCCACACACACACTTTTTTTTTTTTTTTTTTTTTTTTTTTAAGAAATGTGCTATGTCCTTTGTTTTCCACCTTGTAGTTAACATGAATTAGCATTACTGACAAGTCCTAAAGCATTACTAACACACACATAAAATGTTTATGAAGGTTTCCAGGTTTTACCCGAGGAGGTTAAAGATGGTAGGGAAAGTGTAATTTGCTGGTCTATATACCAAGCAATCAGACATTTTGAATCTAGTTGTAAATCTAACACATTCAAGTTGTTTAGTAGTAAACTAGGAGCCTTATTGGATTCTAGAAATAAAGGAATTAGATAACTTAATGCCAGGGCACTTTGTTAATTCTTTTTCTTCTTGCTCTTTTAGTGATCTTCCTCCTGACATCAACAGATTTGAAATAACTCTTAGTAATAAAACAAAGAAAAGTAAAGATCCTGATATCTGTAAGTTGATACAGAAACTTCTTTTTAAACTAAAAGACAAACATATTTTGTGTACTTTAAAAATCCATAATATAATGTAATAAAAAATGGAAATTAAAAATAAAATAGAAGTACAACTAATATAATTTGAGGTAGTTTTTTTTTGTACTTCTAAAAGTTATTGATATGACTAAATTATATATACTCTAAACTGAAGCCTTTAAGATTAAATTACATATCTATTCACCCTTCCCTTCCTAATGAGTATGAGGAACAAGAAAACAGTAAAAGTGGTCATCTTTGTTGTTCTTCCCCTATCCCTTCTTATCCTTTTGAGGTTTTCCTTATTTCCTGTACTTTGCAAGTAAGTGGAAAAACACTCTTAATTTTTTTTTTTTCTTTAAACACGAGTGTACTATTTGTTCACCTTTTCCCGGCCTAATGCTGAAACAGGTGTCAGTGGGATTTAGCAATTCACATATCTGTAAATTAGGTTAATATCTTCTTAAAAGTCATGTTTAGAGAAAGAAGTGCTTTGTATTAACAGATAGGTCCAAGCCTAAATCTTTCTCTATAAAATGTCTACTCTGTATTTCCCTAATCATGTCTATATCCTAAACCTCTGCCTATTACAGAGTTTGGCACATAATAGACATTCACTAAATTAATGAAATATTTACTACTGAATTTTGTGATCTCACTGAAAACTTCTTTAATAAAAAACATTTAACTCTGTAGAGAAGGCAAAATATCAGAATAATATACGTGTGTGACTAATTTATAGTGTCATCTTTTTAGACAGTAATCATTTGATGTTTTTCTATCAAAGTATTTATGCGCTGCCAGTTGAGCCGGTTACAGAAAGGGCATGCCACGGATGAATGGTTTTTGCTCAGCTCCCATATACCATTAAAAGGTATTGAACCAGGATCCTTGCGTGTCCGAGCACGATATTCTATGGAAAAAATCATGCCTGAAGAAGAATACAATGAATTTAAAGAGGTATTAAGTTATTTACCAGTCTAATTATTTTTTATGGCATTAACAGAAATATTTAACATTTAGCTTAGTGGCACACTGACAGACAAAAGAGGGTTGAACACCCTTTTGGTAGTATGGGGTTGGTCTTAGGAGACAAAAATATGTAGGTTACAAACTTATTATTTTTAAAATAAATTTATTCAATATAATGTATTTATAAATATAAAAACATAAAAGAACATATTTTGTTAATCTTACTGCGAATGCTTAATGCTCTACTTTCAACAATCTTCCTTGATATCATTTTTAGCTTATACTGCAAAAGGACCTTCATGTAGTCTATGCTTTATCACATGTGTGTGGACAGGACCGAACACTACTGGCTAGCATCCTACTGAGGATTTTCCTTCATGAAAAGCTTGAATCATTGTTGCTATGTACACTAAATGACAGAGAAATAAGCATGGAAGGTATAGTATGGATGTGTTAATGTAATACTTTTAAAAGTTTGGTCAATAATTGGATTTTAAACAGCAAATATATGTGGGTTCTATGATAGAATATTAAAGTTAAATCATCTTGCAAAATAAATTATTGTTTTTTTCTTTATTAAAAATTAGAGTGCCAGTTCTGATTCTTGTGCTGGCTACTATGGGTGGTCGGTATTTTAATACAAGTTTCTGTCACGACAAATCAGTATTAGAAGTCAAAAGAAAGAACTTGTGTCCAGCTCAATGGCTTCTAGTGTTTTATTAAGAACAGTGTGATATACCGTGAAATTGGTTATGAGCTGGATTTTATTTCTAGATTCTACAGATAAGTAGTTCCTGGACACTATAGCTAAGCACACAGTGCTTGGTAACAGCTTACAAATATGTCAGAGTAATCATTTCTAGCCAGCACTTTGACTCAGTGACAGTGTTTGCTGCTATGTTCCCCCAAATAAACTGTAATAATATACAGATGTGTCAGGAAAGATCAAGTGGTAATATGTATTTTATAGTGGCAATATTTGTTTTTTAGAATTTTATTTAAATCTTTAGTAGCCACGTTTTAGGCTAATACATTAATTTATTTGGGGATTTTATGGTAACTAGTCTAAACCTTTTTTTTGGTATAAACATGATAGTACTAATCCTTTCTCCTGTTTATGATCTAATGCAATAATAGATATAAGCTTTTTGAAGACTTAAGTGTATAGAAACATATACTCGGTATTTTAATGCTGAATGGAAATAAGCATACTTAAATGGTTAAAATTGTTAAGATAAAAATGAATTTAAATGCCAATTGGTTCACATTAGTACTGTTATTTACAGATAACCTTTTAATATATTTATGTAGATGAAGCCACTACCTTATTTCGAGCCACAACACTTGCAAGCACCTTGATGGAGCAGTATATGAAGGCCACTGCTACACAATTTGTCCATCATGCTTTGAAAGATTCCATTTTAAAGATAATGGAAAGCAAGCAATCTTGCGAGGTATGACAAAGAGAATATTCTAATAGGTAATGAATTATAGTTAAGCTAGAGGCTTGATGCACGAATTTGTCACCAGTGGGGTCCCTCGGCCTGCCCTGTGGGATCAGGTAAAAATCAGCTCTCCAACATCCCCCGAGGGGTCTTGGATTGTGAGAGGTCACAGGCCGGGCTGAGGACCCCGCGGGTGCATGATTGGGGCCAGGGAGGTTGGCCAGCCATGGAAGGGCTCCAGAGTGTGTCCAGCCTGTCTCACTCAGTCCCGATCAGCCGGACCTCAGCAGCAAGCTAAACTACCTGTCGGAGCGTCTGCCCCCTGGTGGTCAATGCACATCACAGTGAGCAGTTGAGCAGCTTTAGGATATCATTAGCATATTATACTTTGACAGTTGAATGGATGACCGGACACTGAGCATATTAGGCTTTTTTTTTTATATATATAAAATTACATTTTAAGGAATTATATTACCTTCCTAAAATTATCAGAGCAGTTATATCTGTTGTAATATTATATTTGGAAAATGTTTTGTAAAATAGATTTTTTCTTAAAGATGGCTTTATTTGAGGATTAAAACCTCATATTGCACCAGAAATTCATTAGAGTACTTTATAATTTCTCCAAGTATACTGATAAATATATGCTACTTTCAGAAGGTGGGAGTATTAATTTGGTGCTAAGATGGAAACTTAAGTTTCTGTTGTATAACCTAGTTAAATTCTATGTAGCTCATCATAACAACATTTAGATTTGTCCTTAAAGCATTTTTTGGGGGTGTGAGGTAGTATGAGATAATCTTCACAAAAGAAAAAAAAAGGCTTCAGTGCAAATTCTTAGTAAATCGTGGGAGAGAAAGAGTGGTATCTTACTTATGGCTATTCTCTCATTTTATTCTGAAGGTAGAGCAACTATAGAAGATACTAAATATATTTTAACTAATAAAATACGAAATTTCTTTTGACAATGTACACTGAGAGCATGTTAATTCTGCATTAAGTGGTCAATTTTTACTAACTAGAGAATTAGTGTTGAAAACCTGGGATAACACCACAGATGGTCTAACTAGTAAGGATATAGGAATTCAGCAATTCTGCGGTGTCTGGTAGCTGGATCCAGGCTGGGGAATTTAGACATCTCTAGAGAAATGTACTCCATTCAGTTTAGATCAGGACACTTACATTTCAGGGAAAAGTTTTGAGAAAGGTTCATAATTTTGCTCCAGGCATTTGGTATTTTCTAGTCATAAATAAGTCTTATCCTAATCAGAAAATACATTTTTCCCCTTAAATAAATAGAATTAAGATAGACATTACAATAACAGTATGGTGATCTTTCATCCTATTTAAATATTCCTGTATATTTGTGACTATGTGACCACTAAAACTGTTTTTGTTGTTGGTGGTGCTTTTTTATTTTTTGTCTTTTAGAAAGTCTGACCCAATTTTATGTGAGTGTAAAAATCTATGGTAAAAACTGGTTAATGAACAGAAGAGAACTTTAATACTGGCATTGATTCCAAAGCAACTGAAAGCTGTTGAATAGCTTGCTCTTCAATTCAGTACAGTCGAACCTGCAACCACCTGGATGGGGAGGGTTAGGGGCCCTCTCCAACTCCCACTCCTTGTGGTCAGAAATCCACATAGAACTCATGATTCCCTCAAAACTTAGTTTTCCTTCTGTATCACTGGGGGATTGGTCCCAGGACCCCCATGTACACCAGAATCTGTGGATGTGCAAGTTTATCATATAAAATGGCAGAGATCAGTGCATACAGTTAGTTGGTCCTTTGCATTCAGACTCCCAACCACAAATCAAAAAGTAAAGGTATTTATTGAAAAAAGTCCTCGTATAAGTGGACCTGTACAGTTGAAACCAATGTTTAAGGGTCAACTGTAATTGGGAATTAATGGTAACAAACCCAAGGAGTTCCATAGCATACACTACTTAAAAATTCCCATTTATACCTCCCCCAAAAAGGCTAATACAGATGGAAAAAATAGAGAACCCTGAAAAGAACTGTTTGATTACCTTGATTCTTTGTGTTTATCATTGCCAAGATGCATTTATAATGATTTATTCCTTCTCTTAGTTAAGTCCATCAAAATTAGAAAAAAATGAAGATGTGAACACTAATTTAGCACACCTTTTGAACATACTTTCAGAGCTTGTGGAGAAAATATTCATGGCTTCAGAAATACTTCCACCGTAAGTGGTGAATTTTAATTTGACAAGAAATTGTGTATCTGCATTTTGAAAAATTTGTATTTCTAAAATGTACACTTTTCCACTGTCATGATGGTTAAGATACTTTGAAAAAGTCAGGGGGTTTAATCTTTACAAAATGAATTGTGTTTAAGGAAGAAGACTGACTTGAAGAAACGTGTGAAGTATTTACATTAAATCAAATCATGCTTTATGCAAGCCCATGTCTGATTTATGTAGTGACTTGGGGGATGAATAGAGGTATAGTCTTAGATTTGAGGAAATGATAAAAGACAGATCTCTATCCAGTCTGCTTAATAGCTTCCCGGGTTAACTCAGTCAGGTAGAAGTTGTTAAAAAGCCAACATCTTCCCAGAACCTGAACTCATTAGTTTCCTCTATATCCTTATCCCAATACTTTTTTCATACTTTTCATAAATATAGAATAACCTAAATATGGTAAGATTTCTTCCAAAGCAAATGTAAAATAATTGGTTAAATGAATCAAGTGTGAAAACTTGATTCTCTATTACTTTGAACCAAGTACATTTTTTGGGGGGAAATGTCAGTTGCATTAAAATGTTATATATTTGGTAAATTAAACTTTAGGTATAACGAGATCAGTATTTTCACTTGCTTTCTGTATTGAGATGATTGTGTTATTTTGGCAGGACACTGAGATATATTTATGGGTGTTTACAGAAATCTGTTCAGCACAAGTGGCCTACAAATACCACCATGAGAACAAGAGTTGTTAGGTAAGGCTAAGCAGTTCATTTAATACATCACTGTATATGGTACACACTGAGAGTCAAGAGGATAATTGTGAAAATTAAGACTGACAGTACACAGTGTACAATTCAAAACCTTTTTCTTTTATTTTTATTCTGAGCCCTGTTGAATATTTTCTGAGTTCAGATGGCTCCTAAACAAACTTTAAGTGTTGGGGTGTTTTGGAAGTTACTATGATTACTGAGATAACTTTTGCATTTTCTAAAAACCTAAACATTCATTTATAGTCAGTTAACTATTTGAGATTTTTATTTTATAGGATGAGGTCAAATAATCAACAAAATCTGTATTTAACTTTATAGTACTCTTAATACACACACACATACATACATATCTATAGACAAAGGGAGGAAGGAAAGAGAAACAGATTAATTTGGTGCAAAGAAAAGCAATAATTGAGCCATTTTAAAGAAATGGTTTTATAACAGTTTGTGACCATGGGCTAATCTACAATGCAGTAATTAGAAGAAATTGCAAAGTTAGTAGCTAAGACAGAACTAAAGACTAAACTTCTATGACCCAATCTAAGATTGTATTTAAAAAATATATGTATTTTTTATTGATTTCAGAGGGGAAGGGTAGAGAGATAGAAACATGATGGAAGAGAGTAATTGGCCAACTACTTCCTGTATGTCCCTTACTGGAGATTGAGCCCACAAAGTAGGCCTGTGCCCTGGCCAGGAGTGGAACTGAGAGACCTGGTTCATAGGTTAATGCTCAACCACTGAGCACACAGGCCGGGCCCCGATTTAATTTAATATTCTGAATACTATTGCAGGCTTTTGTAAAGTACATCCCAACCCATTCAAGCCAATAGGGAACTTAGTGATAAAGCATCAGAGAATGTAGTAGTCTAACAATGATAGAATTAATTTAGAATATACTAGGTATATTGCCACTCATGTTATGCCCCTTAAAAATATTATCCAACCACTAAAAAACAAAACCCACAACATAGTTTTGAAAATGTGTGTTAATCTGGCTTCCAACCTAAATTTTGTAGAGGCTTCTACTCTTTTTAGGTAAAAATCTTAGAATCATATGACAAAAATATTTAAAAATTATAGATTCTGTAATTCTTGGCTTTAGTAGTGATTGAGAATAAAAATAATTATAAGCACATTCTGCACAGCTATCTGTGTGATGTAAATTAACACTTCTATAATCTGTAAGTTTCAAACAAGTGTAGTTGTTAAGCAGAATTTCCTGCTGTGCACTGTTGGCCACTATTGGATGTTTTAAGGGGCATTTATGCCCAAGGTGACGATTTCTGCCCCTAATAAGCTTTTAAATGTATATGTAGGTACATAGTATCCCCTTAAAACAGAAAGTAGATTTGCACATTGAAAGTCTTTTATGGTGTGATGTTGCCTCTAACACTTAAGTATCAAAATATATTCAAATAGAATCTGTACAAGATTCTTCATAAATTTAAAATAAACCCAAATTTAAAGACTTAATCATTGTTGTCATATATTCTAATTGCAACTATATATTTACTTTCTAAGAGTCCAAAATTAGCAAAGTGTCATATTTTGGAAGGTACATGCTGAGATTTGGGTTATCTACTCTAGCAGAGAATAGATATGGTATTGATGAGTTTAGTCTCTAGAAGGAATTTTATCAACTATCCTCCTATATAATAAAAGGCTAATATAGATTGAACGTCAGAACGACCTGTTTCTATGATGCGCACTGACCACCCAATGCAGGAGCTGCCCCCTTGGAGGTCACTGTGCCCCACGGGGGAAGCGCCGCTTAGGCAGAAGCTGGGCTCACAGCTGGCGAGTGAGGCAGTAGCGGTGGGAGCCTCTCCTTCTGCAGCAGTCGGACATTCCCCAAGGGCTCCTGAACTGTGATAGGGCGCAAGCCAGGCTAAGGGGATTCTCTCCCCCCCCCCCCCCCCCACACACACACACACACAAATTTTGTGCATCAGGCCTCTAGTTTTAGTAATAAGGCTTGTCTTTATAAGAGGCAAGTAAGAGGTCAATTGTTAATGTGTATTACTCTTAACATATACTCTATCAGTAACTGAAGATGGCAGGTTAGAAAAAAGCTAAATAAGTTTGCCATTTTACATAATGTTCTCTAAGAGTAAGATTAACAGGTAAAATCATATATGACAATGTTGTTAAGCATGTTCTTTAACATAACTTTTTAGTTTTACTGTTAATTTGTAATTTGAGAATGTATTTTTTAACTTGAGAAACCTTGTTTTTTTCTTTATGGCCATAAAAGCTTTTTAGCATTGTTTATATATATTTTTTAATTTATCATGGAGTCACCTTTTCCCTAGTATAATGGATTCTTATTTTTATACTAGAGGCTGGGTGCACAAAATTTGTGCACGGGAGGTGGGGGGGGGGGGGGGGAGAGGCCCTCAGCCCAGCCTGCACACTTTTTAACCTGGGACCCCTCAAGGGATGTCTGACTGCCCCTGGGCCTAAATAGGCAATTGGACATCCCTCTCACAATCCAGGACTGCTGGCTCCCAACCGCTTGCCTGTCTGCCTGATTGCTCCTAACTGCTTCTGCCTGCCAGCCTGATCACCCCCTAACCACTCCTCTGCTAGCCCGATTGCCCCTAACTGCCCTCCCCTGCAGGCCTGGTCCCTCCCAAATGTCCTCCCCTGCTGGTCAAGTTGTGTTGGAGTGATGGTCAGTTTGCATATTATCTCTTTATTAGATAGGAAGACATCAACAAAATCAAGAGAATGAATTTGACAACAAAATCAAGAGAATGAATTTGACTTATATCAGACTTTACTGGGTTGTTCTGTTTAAATACAGAAAGAAAATTGAGAGAATGTAAGTTTAGGAACTTTCAGAACTACCCTGTTTCCCCGAAAATAAGACATTAAATTTTTCTCCCATAGTTGCGCGAGGTCTTATTTTCTGGGAAACACGGTATGTATCCATAAAAAGACTTGTGCTCCTATAATTTTTCCAGAAACTCTTAGTTTTTAAGGACACTACTTTCTCAAATTAAGATAGTAAGTACTATACATATAATTTAAATCTGCCCAAAATAAAATTCCAAATTTGGGAAAAGTATGTTTAAGAAGATATAGAAGTTCTTAAAATAAGGTACTTTGAGCTATTTTCTTAAAGCTTTGTTTGTGGTTTCCTGTATTACTTCAAAGTTCATGGTTCTATGAGTATTAAAATTTTATTTTCTTAATGTAGTTTTCTAAAAAAATAAAAATATTTTTATTTTTTTCAGTGGTTTTGTTTTCCTTCGACTTATCTGTCCTGCCATCCTGAATCCACGGATGTTTAACATCATCTCAGGTAATCAATTTTTGATACCTTTTGAAATTAAAAAATTAGAAAACTTTATTTAATGAGTTACATGGTTTCTCTTTACCTTTCCTTGCCATTTTGCTTCTTTTACCCTTCCTTCTCATCTAATGAAGCCAGAGATGGCATGATTAGATATTACTCCTTTTTTCCCATTTCTACTGTATCTCAAACTCTTATTACAGTGCCTTCCTATCTGCATCTTGTCCTTTTCATGTTGGGGAGAAGAGCTTTCTGTGTGCTACAGTTGCAGTAGTACTCTGTGAATACTTAAAGTGGCTCTTTAGAGATTTTCATTAAGAATTTCTTATCACCACTTATATAATATCTGCTATTTTTAACTCCAGTAAACCAGATTTAGTTTTGCTTATTACCTGTATGTCCATTATGTAATGACTTTCAGATGATGTAGGTGATATTTATGACTGAATGCAATAATGAGCCATTAAAATAAGGAGCCTAAACCATTTTTATCTTAGTGGTTTAAAGCTCCAAATGTATTAAAAATATTGAGGAATATTTTAATTTTTACCTTTATAGCCACCCAATTTGTTATTGTCTTCTATCGTTGCAAAAATGGTTAAATCTATAGCCTATTAAAATTTAAGGGTTTAGAATTCTTTTGGAGAGATTTATTTATTTGAATGCTGGCCTATGAACCACTAGGCAATACTATCTATAGTTTATTAGCTTGAGATACAGAGTAAAATAAAAAATCAGGCACTCATACTCCCTAAAGTTTTTACTCTTAAATAATTATCTTCTTTCAGGGCTTATATTCCATAAAGAATTGTTCCCTGACTAATATTTAACGTATTTTAATAGTTTATGAAATTGCATGTTTTTCTCTTAAAAAATAAGAACAGAGGTTTCCCAGACTGAGCTTTAAAGTGAATTATATGGTCAGTGGGGGGTTGGAATGGAGAATTGCTCAGAGTGCATATCGCTAATCTAAGTGGGTTGAAATTAGCTTTGTGAATTGTCACAGAGGTTGTAATAGAATGACAGGTTTTTTGTTTGTTTAAGAAAATAAAGCTTTGACATATTCTGATACATTCTTAGTTGGGAGTTGCTGAGTTGCAAAACTAGAAGCACTGATAAGTGCATTCAGTATCTTTCCCTTTTACTCAAGTTCTTTTGAATTGTAAAGGTTATATATTTTCAAAAAAATTTATGAGTTCTGAATGGGAGAACATTAGTATTTTAACATGAAAGAAATATTAATGTTCTAAATTTATAATGGTAATACCTGGGAGTACTTTCGGAGTTGGTCTCATTAGCTCTGCCCAATTCTCTTACAGATTCCCCATCTCCCATTGCTGCAAGAACACTGATACTAGTGGCTAAGTCTGTACAGAATTTAGCTAATCTTGTGGAATTTGGAGCTAAGGTATAAACATTTTTATTCTTTAAAATATCATTCATGAATGAAACTTTGACATAAAATCATAAAATATAGCTTAAGTAAATTTACAATAATGGGAAGTTCATAAAGAGAATTTATATTTTTGTTGGTATGTTATTTTAAAAAATGTTTTGTCTAGGTTTTACATTGTAAATAATGGAATTCTTAAGACCACTATTCTAGCCATTATAGAAAACGATATGTTCAATTTTCAGTATTGAAAATTATATCTTCAGCCAGCATGCTAAATGCATGCCAATCAATCTTTAAAAATTTATTTCACAATAAACATTTCACTATAAATTTTAAAACCCCCATGTGTGATCCCACAACTGAAGACTGTTAATATCATGATAAGAATCGTACTATATCACCTGCTGTCATCATAATGTAACAAACTTGCTGTACCTGGAAATATTTGTTTTATTGTGCTTAATGATTATTTAGTATGCCATCATATAGACAGATCTTAAATAGTTCTCTATTGGCTATTTCGATGGCTTCCAATTTATCACTACCATAAATATTGCTGTAACAAGTGTCTTTATATGTTTAACTAACTTTGGAATAAGATTACAAGACATTATGTTCCCCACAGCCTTGATGAAAAATAGGCATAACGCTACTTTGGTGTTTCATTACTCTTAGAGAAATTGAATGATTTTTCATGTTTATTTCTTGGAATTGATGAGGTCTTTATCTCATCTCCTTATTGAACTTACTGATTTTAAAAGCAGTTGTGTTAATACTAACCTCCTATTTTATAACATAGCATATAAGATTTTAGTATGAAGAGCAGTTTATATGTCTGGCTTAGTTTTTGGATTTATCTAACTCATATATATTTTCCTATTATAGTCCTTTGCACACTTTAATTCCCTATATTTTCTGCTAGATTCTACCCTTAGGGTTGGACCCATGTTTGTCCTGATGCTTGGCAAATAATAGTTTCTTAGTTATTTTTGAATGAATTACATATGAGCAATTTGTATCTGCTAGGCTATATGCTCTGATGCATTCTCATTCCAGAATTTTTTTTACTAAAAAATTCCAGTTCTTTAGTATAGCTGTTTGCTTATATTAGAATGAAAATATTGTCACTGTGAACATGTATTGCTATTGATAATACATATTTTAAAGAATTCTTATAACATGTATGTTTTTATTATATAGATCAGATGTTTGTTTTTAATGCATATAGTAAGCTTTTTGTGTTTATATTTTTAGGAGCCCTATATGGAAGGAGTCAATCCTTTCATCAAAAGTAATAAACATCGTATGATCACGTTTTTAGATAAACTTGGGGTATGTATACAACTTTCTCAATACTTTTGAGACCTATAGTTAATATAGCTGAGTTAACTCATTTTAGCAATGAACTTTTAAAAAGGTTTTCTATCCAGAACTTAAAAAAACCAAACTGCGTATTTTTGTTTACCTTGAACAAAATATTTTGACTATAGTTTCTTAGACTAAATGTTTTAGACTAAGCATACATTATTGGGGCTTTTGGATTTGTGTCATTTTTCTAGTTTTTCTTTCATTATTCTATTAGCTGTTTCACCTTACTATTGTGACATTCTTTTGCTACTTTTTGCTATTGTGTGGAATTTGAAATAAGTAAATAGACTGGAGATTGAATATTTTTGTGGCTTTCTAGGAATAGGAATAATATCCATGAACTTGGAGTTATACTTCAGTTATTAGTAGGACTACCTATACTTTTCTTGGGCCTTCATAAATAGTAACTATGAAATTAAGAAGGGGGGTTTTAAAGAAAATAATTTCTAAGACCCTGGATTTCTCATTCTTAGTACAATTTAAGTAGTTATAAATTTTCAGATAGACTCAATTAAAAATCAATGTATTTGCTATTCAGTTCATATATATAGAAATCAGAAAGGAAACATATATATGTGAATTTAGACATGTTATTAGGGAATGCTACAGTAGGAGAGTGAGGTGCCCATGTTCTGCCTTAATGCATTTAAATTCAGTTAAAAACACAAAACAACCACTATACTACTATGTAGTCAAACCTATCAGGACTGCTTGTGGGCCTCTAGTTTGCAATTTCAGGTATAAAAAAAATACTGTACAAATAATGTTAAGGAGCAAATGCTGTGTCCATCATGTTTCCAAATGTGAACTCCTGTGAAGTTTTGAAAAAACAGTTTCTAAAAAATCTAGTTGGTGATTGAAAAATAGTATTTAAGAAGTTGTGTGAAAAGTTTTTCCAATATTTAAGGCTAGCTCAAGTTTATCATAAGCCACATTTTCAGATTCATGGTTGGAATTCCATTTTCCATAACAGTAAATATCTACAGTTCAGCTTTCTCTATCACTTTCCTAGTAATGCCACATATAGTTTAGCCTTTCAAACTGCATAGAATCCCACTGTTCTAACACTCTTCCATTCCTTTTCTTCCTGAATAAATCAAATTTAACTTTCAAGACTCACCTCAAATCTCTCCTTCAGGAAGGCTCAGCTGAGCCCTAAAAATGTGAAATTTCTTTTGCTTCCTAAGTAGTTTTTGCATGTCTGTGGTATATAATTCTGTCATATCAACTAGACTGTAAGCTCTCTGAGGGCAAATACTAGTTTTTTTCATTACTGAGTCTTTACAATATAGTAAACATTGTTTTGCACTATTTAGGGAATGTATAGCAAATATTGTCACAATTCTGAGGCTCAAAATAACATCAATATTTAGTGTTAATAAAGTACTGTCAATGTCCGTCCTACAGTGACTGTTAATTATGGTACTTCAGATAAGGTTTGTAAAGTTAACTCTGATCATGTTCACACATTAGCAAATGTTTTAGGAGTAATCCACAGATAATTAACTATAGGCTTGATAAATTTAGACGAGATTCAGTCTGAAAGAGTAGAGGAATTTTAAGTTTAGGTTGCATTTAATCCAGATTAGCAACCAAAACTTACACTTTTGGTTATGTGTTCCACATTTAAAACAAACAACAAAGCTCTATGAAGTTCACGAAACCCGTTTATTTAGAATAGCAATAATCACAGTGTTCGGCCATGCTGTGGAAGAAAGTGGTTTTGATGTGAATAGCAAGATCACAAAATCTATGTTTAGCAGAATTAGCACTGAATACATTCCTGTAAGTCCTTAGAATTTTAAAAGAATATTATATTATGTGTTAAATTTTCTTAAATTTAAGATTTAGCCGCAACCGGTTTGGCTCAGTGGTAGAGCATCGGTCTGCAGGGTACCAGATTCGATTCCTGTCCAGGGCATGTACGTACATTGGTTGCGGGCACATCCCCGGTAGGGGGTATGCAAGAGGCAGTTGGTCGATGTTTCTCTCTCGTGGACGTTTCTAGCTCGCTCTCTCTCCCTTCCTCTCTGTAAAAAAAATCAATAAAATTATTTATATACATATACACACACACACACATATAAGAAAATTTAAGATTTATAAGTGCAATTTTGTAATTTCCTTAAAGGATGTACCTGAACTTCCGGACACTACAGAGCATTCTAGGACAGACCTGTCCCGTGATTTAGCAGCATTGCATGAGATTTGTGTGGCCCATTCAGATGAACTGAGAACGCTCAGTAATGAGCGTGGTGCACAGCAGGTAGGTTATGCCAGTCTTCATTAACAATGCTTCATTAGCAGTTATGATTCTCTGAGGTAATAAGTAGCTGAGTTAGGGTCGACATTTTTATCAGTTATATTTACATTTTAAAGAATGAACCATAATCCTTGTGAGATTCTCAGATAAGAATAATAGGCTCAGAGTATGTATTTTTGATACTGCAAAATGTCAAATCTTGCTGTTTTATATAAATTGTTAGCTCTACAGAAAAAAAAATGATACATACACTTAAATGGCATGTGAGGAAATAAGTCAGCAGTGATGTGCCTTTTTCTCACACACACAGAATTATTTAGGAAGTTTGATAAAAATAAATAACTCTTCCAGATTAGGTCACTACATTGGCCAGCCATTTGCCAGTGACCTTACAGACAGGACTGAGTTTTCTTTAATCTGAGATTCTAAAACCAAGTTTAGGCCCTTAATGAGCCAGATTATTATCTTAATCACTTTAGAAACTTGGGTACCCGAGTATGTACCATGGGCCTAAAATGAAAAAGTATCACCTTTATGCGATCTTATTGGGCTTAAGGTATATCATTTATAAACCTGTGTTCTGGACTAAGATATAAGAATGCCAAACACATGAATTTATAGTCACTTTAGTATACAAAAATTCTAACTTAACTGATCATAAATATTATGATCAGATCTGTCCTTCAGAGGTTTTCACAAAGTTTATGATTTTAATAGAATAATACTATGGCTTTTTTTCAAATCTAGGTTTTTCTGAATGAGCTTTCATTCACTTACTAATTTCATATTGTTTTTCCTTGTCTAGCATGTACTGAAAAAGCTTCTGGCTATAACAGAACTGCTTCAACAAAAACAAAACCAGTATACAAAAACCAATGATGTCAGGTAGCAGCCTTCACCCAAGTGTCTGCATGGATTCAGCATGGTAATTCACATCAGTATGTCTCCTTTGCTCTTGCCAAAAAATAGCACACCTTTCCACATTCCAGTGATGTGTGAGCTATGCAAACAAACCCTAAATTCTGCTGGTGAATAACTGTACCAGCAGCTTTGTAAGCTATCTGTGCAGGATATTTGCACTTTTTCCACATATGGAATCAATCTTTACCAACCTCTGAGCCTTGGTGTACAGATCACCTTTCATACAACAAATGACTGTATCTTGAACTTTGAGAATATATTTTCAATACATCCAATTGCCAAAGTTTTGCTGTCTCTTGGGAAAAGAACTATGAAATCAACTGACAAGAAAAAGCATTCTGTCAATGAGTATAACTGGATTGCATACGGTTCTTACTGTAACTTCTTCCTGATTAGGAATACGACCGTTTGACTGTTATTTGTTACAGTTTCCAGAATTTGCCATTATAATAGGAACAACCTTTGCTGTATACTTTTTTAAAATACTGTGCTACTTCTCTTGCTAGAACTGTTGAAAGAAAATATATAGATGGAATATTGACTCATCAGCTTTATTTTTTAAACATACCACTTATTTGTTCAAACTGTATTTAGATCTCATAATGCTTTTGTTAAATGTTTACAACAGTAAATAGTTTAAATTCAATAAATATTGGTCATTGTACTGATCGATGCATGTTACCCAAACATTTTAGACTACCAATTTTTTTTGTTAAAAAAAAACACAACCTAGAATGCTTTTTGTTGAAAGTATTCATTAATTCCAAATTGATTATGCAATCTCATCAGTCACTTAACAGCTATCCATCTTTGGGAAGAGAGAGAGATAGAAGAACAGCTATCCATCTTTGAACTTCTGACTACTTGTTGTATCTGCTGGGTATTTAGTTTGACTGTATAGTTTTATTTGCTTCTGTATGTATTTTTGTGAAGTACTCACAAGGGTTAAGTTAAAATAAAACCAAGGGATATAACTGATTACTTCTGTCTAAATACAGGTAAGCATTTAATTTCATTTTCTTGTTTAGAAACAGTTCACATTTAGTATTATAGCAAGGTCCAAAGGGAAGATGAACCTTCAGGTCATCTTTTTGGCTAATGATCTCTTTAGAAGGATCAGATTAGTTCATTCACACCTATAATTAGTTAGGGAAGAGGTATGCAGCAGCGTATCAAAAGTGGATGAGACAGGAACCAAGGGAGATTAAGAATATAATTTTGCACACTAAAGAAATTTTCTATAAAGGCCTATATTCCAAGAGCAAAACTTTAAAATATAGGAAAAAAATGAAGTGTTAAATAATTGAGGGTTTCAAAGAAAGATTGCTGTGGAGGTAGCTATAATCACGTTTGAACAATGATGGCAAAAAACTCAGCATACCCTGTACTATACCTTTTATTAATATCAATTCAATTCCACTTTTTCTCTGCATTGTATTACTTTCAAGCTCTCCCTCCCTCTTGCTTTTCAGCTGGGTCACCACAGTAGTATCCAACGTGGTCTCCTTCCAAAAACCTCTAGTGGTAGGCAACTTGGTTCCCTCCCAGTCTCTTAAGCTAGAATAGGAAACTTGTTATTTATCTTTGCAGGCCTTGCAGTAACTAGCTGGTCAATGATGAAATAAAACCTCAAAAACTGGGTAGCAAAATTTGAAATATTTGTGGACCTTGCTTTGGTGCCAAAGTTTAGTGACTTAAAAGAGAAACAAGGTAAGAACAGCTTGCAATTCTGGCTAGAGCCTAGCAGCACTGGTACTTAACCTGGCCGACTGTCAATTTAGGTTCCTCCACTTCACTTTTGTCAAGTCACACTTCATGAATTTTATTCCTCTCATTCAATGAGGACACTAAAAATAAGCCAAAAAAGCTCATACCTAAAATGAAAGGAATTATTAAAAAGGACACATGCAGTAAATATTGTGTTCAAATACTAAGATGTAATTAAAATGGTACCTACACTCCTATGGAAAGCAGCCATGGATGCATTGACAGTGAGTAAAGGTATGTATCCATAAAACAGATTCAGGGCAGTTGACTTTCTCAATTCCTTCAACCCAGTTTTTCAGGAGAAATTTGACAAACATCCATAATTTGATTCCAACTTAGAAACTGAATAGTAAGATTACAGTTAATAATTCAATAAATGTTATCAATAAATGTTATTAATAGCATTTGTTTAACACTTAGTATATAGAGGCATTATTTTTCCCTGGGCACAGAACTTTAGTAATTTGCCCAAAGTGGAGGTAGCCATGATTGACACCAAAGTAATTTGGTGCTACAGTCTACATTTATATCTACTTCTTTCTATTTAAAATACATTTCTTGAATAATATACTTAATCTGAAAAATTTATAGTAACACATTTATTTGGCAATCTAACAGGTTAATTATAAAACTGAACATACAATTTGCTACTACCCAACCTTTAGGTTTTTAATCTAGACAACTACTTAATATTGCCTATTTGATTTCTTTTTAAGAAACTCATTTGGAGATGTTTTCAGCTAAATAATTGAGGAAAACAAATACCTGGGTTCACTAGCTTTCATACATTTTATAGTTAAGTGGTAACATACAAATAGCTAAGTATATCAGGATGGCATTTAAACAAACCACATATAATGGTGCCTTTTTTCAAAAGGGATGTTTATTGCATTTTGTTTAAAACAACATAGGCAAGTAATTTACAGCTTTGGCTACTATAGGAAGACTAATTTGATTTTTAGTCATGGGGGTTGGGGGGGATCAGATTATCCAAACCAGGTGCTACTCTGGGTCCTTTGAACATCTTATTTCACATAAAGCTACCCTGAAAGGAGAAACTTTCAAATAAATAAAAAAGTTTACTGTATTTTGATGCTTTCACATTATTTCATTTTTAAAGAAATTTAAATGCCAGATAAGCTTCATCCTTCTGTTGATTTGTTAGCATTGACAAATCAATTTCAAATGGTTAGAGAGAATCTACCAGGTCATCATCAGTCCATTCTTCCTAAGAAGGAAAGAAGATGTAATAAGGATAACGTTATATTGAAACATTAACCAGTATTGTTTACCTCCTTGCCTCCCTCTAGGAAAATGTTTTTAATATGTTGATTACAGAAGGTAGATAAACCAGGAATATATGTAGTTGTTTATAGGCATGGTCCCACAAACTACTCCGATGACAGGACAAATATAGTTGTGACCTTCTGCCTCTGATTACTAGTATTCATTTTTATCTGACTTGCCAGGTTACAATTTCTTTTTAAGGGCAGAAGAATCCATGCAGGGTAAAAATTTATAGCATATAAATTGTATGTCTATCCCTGCTGCTTTTTATGACCATACGAAGGATTCTTCAGCAAGTAACTATTATAGTGCTTCAGAAAACACTGACAGAAGTGAGGAATATCCCTGTAATAATGGACCATGTGGAGGAAGAGGATACAAAAAAGTATGAATGCTTTCAAAACCACACACACACACATATATATGTGTGTGCTTGCACAATAGGAATAATAGTTACCTTTGGAGAACATACCTCCTCATGTTTGGGTTTCTTTGAGACATAATCATCATCTTCATACCCTTTCCTCTTCTTCCTGTAATTGGGCAACCATCAAAAAGCAATGCAATAAATGGCAACGTAACTATAAAATAAATTAGCAAGACTACATGAAATACATATTCTGAAAACAAAGCCTGGACACATGGAAAGAGATGAAGAATTATAAAGACAATATCTTTTAAATTAATCTTTAGGTTCAATGTAATTCTAATTAAAATCCTAATAAAATTTTTCATGGAACTCATCAAGTCTCACTCTGGCCTGGAAAAATGTGTTTAGAAACTTTTATAGAAATTTGATAAATCTGAAAAGGAATTGTGGGGAGGGGACTGTACTGCAGTTCTCATCAAAACGGCATACACAAAAGCTATAACTAAAACTGTGGTATTAGCAAAGAGTTAAACAGATTAAAATGATTAGATAGGTAAAACAACTATATGTAGGAATTTAATAAATAAGGCAAATTATGAAATATTTAAAAATGGCTGCTACAACAGGTTATTTGAAAAAATATTAATAAATTTCTACTTCAGATTCATAATTCTAAATGTTTTTAACAGTTGAAAAAACAAAATAGGCAAAGATATTTAGATACAAAACCATAACACAAATGATAAATTTCCTTACATATCACAAAGTGAAAGAAACAGAAGAAAAATAGGTGTATAATAGATAATGCAAATTAAAATACTATCCCCCCCCCCCCCCATCCAGACAGGAAGAATTAAAGATTAATACTATTAAATGTTGTGTGTGTGAAAACATTAATAAAAAAAGAAAAACTATTTTATACACTAACACAGGAGAAAGGCTGGCAAAGGTAAACACTTAGGCTATCTCTGAGGACAAACGGGGCTTTGGCTTTTGGTCAAAGAGAACTTTGGTTTGTCTGTACTGACTGACTGAATTTCATAATGATGATATAGCTATTATTTGTGTAATAAAAGAAATTTTAAAGACCAACGAAAACAAGTATTTTATCCTAAAGTAGTGCTTTCAAGTGTGGTCCAATAACCATTTCCAGTGTGCAATGAATAAATAAAACTGGGCGTGTGTTTAGAAACATAATATAGAAATTTGATAAATTATGACTATCGAATCTAATAAAATTTAAGCTTTGTATTATGTCTTTTTTACTCATTTTGTAGTAATTTGTTTTATTTTATAAACGTATAGGTCTGTAATGAATTTAAAAAAACAGTCCTTTACAGTATGAGAAGCACCCTTCGAGTACACATGGAAATGTAGAATCTGCCTGGCACAGTACTAAGTGGGTGGTAAATCTGAGTAAGATAGAAACTCAGGCAATTAAGTAGTTAGAAGGGTAAGATTAATGCACATTCTATCACTTAATCCAGAGGTTGAAAAATTATATGTTGAAGGGCCAGATAGTAAATATATTACGCCTTGTAGGCCATCCCATCAGTTTCTGCCTCAATTACCCAACAGCTATAGACAGTATGAAAACTAAGGGTATAGCTATCCTATCTAACAGTAATATGCAAATTGATCATCACTCCAAGACACAAGATGGCCTGCAGGGGAGGGCAGTTGGGGGTGACCAGGCCTGTAGGGGAGGGCAGTTCTAGGCAGTTAGGGGTGATCTGGCTGACAGATGAGGGTAGTAGGAGCAATCGGGCTGGCTGGGGAGCAGTTAGGTGTCGATGAAACTGGGAGACAGAAGCAATCTGGCAGGTAGGTGAGTGGTTGGGAGCCAGCAGTCCTGGATTGTGAGAGGGATGTCTGACTACCTGTTTAGGCCTGATCCCAGGATCGGGTCTAAACGGGCAGTCCCACATCCCTCAAGGGGGTCCTAGATTGGAGAAGATGCAGACTGAGCTAAGAAATTTTCCCCCCTCCCCATGCACAAATTTCGTGCTCAGGGCCTCTAGTGTTCCAATAAAACTATTCCTAAAAGCAGATAGTGGCCTGGATTTGGCCCATGGGCTATATAATTTGCCAAGCCATAGTTTAAGTTCAAATCTCCTGTAAAAGGAAAATTACCAGTGTTGCAATTCAGTATTCCCCCCTATGTGTGTGGGGAGGTATGTTCTAAGACCCCCAGTGAATGCCTGAAATTGCAGAAAGTACCAAACTATATATACAGTTCTTTCCTATAGACACAAACCCATGATAAAGTTTAATTCCAAATTAGGCACAGTAAGAGATTACCAACAATCCTATATAATAAAGAGATAAATGGTCATGACACCCTCATGCCATGATGATCAATCAACAGGAGGCAGCAGACACGGGTGGGTGGGGCTGCATGTGGTGAAACTGGGGGATGTGAGATTGTGTCCCCAACCCAGTGCCAGCAGGGAGATGTGATGCCGTTATTATTAATAAATTTATATATTATTTTCATATACATTCTACTAATTTTCGTTCATCTCTCACACTTCTATTATAAAGAAAGGGTAATTAGCAATATTAAAATATTTCCTCTAATTCCCTTTTAATGTGCATGAATGTCATGCACCAGGCCACTAGTCTATAATAATAAAAGCATAACATGCTAATTTGACTAGACAGCTGAATGTTCTTCTGGACAAAGCTGCCATGGCTGTAAGGGCCAAGGGCAGGCAGCCACGGCGGCTGGCAGCGGGGTGATGGGGGCAGCACCTTCCCCTGATCAGCCTGGTCGCCTCCCACAGAGGGAGGCCAGACTGTAGCTTAGGCCCGCTCTTGCAGGGAGTGGGACTAAGCCATCAGCAGGACATCCCCTGAGGGCTCCCAGACTGTGAGGGGGCAGGCTGGGCCGAGGGGGTAGCCTCCAGTGCATACATTTTTGTGCACCAGGCCTCTACTAGTCTATAATAAAGGTGTAATATGCTAATTAGACCAGACAGCCAAACGACATTCCAAGCAAGCTGGGGCTGGAAGGGCGGAAGCTGAGAGGGCTGAGCCCCTTGTATGAATTCCATGTATCGGGCCTCTAGTAACCAATAAAATGTAATAACATACTGTACTAAGTTATGCAGTCTCTCAAATTACCTTATTGTACTGTATGTACAGTGTGGATATGCTAGACAAAAGGATGCTTCACGTCCCAGGTGGGACAGAGTGAGACATTGCATGATTTCATCATACTACTCAAAATAATATGCAATTTTAAAATCTATGAATTGTTTATTTCTGTATTTTTCCATTTAATATTTTTAGACCACAGTGGACTATTTTCACTCATTAAAGTCAACATTCTTTTCTTCTTTGTAATCATTCTTATTAGTTACCATTCCTATTAGTTACAAACTAGCTTAGCAAAGAACTTAAAATTGGTTGATTTTAAAATCAACCAATTTTAAGTTCTTTGCTAAGCCAGTTTGCAGTTTTACTATTCCTGTTACCTGACCAGATTCTCAACTGTTTAAACTCCTAAAAGATTAGATTTAAGTAGATCCTTCAATTTGCAAAGCATAAAAATCCTGAATATGATGATTTCCACATACAGACTACAAGTCACTGAGTGACATATGGGCATTCTTTATGGCTGCAAAAAAAAAAAAAAAGTCTAACAGCACATTTTACTATTGGTTCTGTCCTTAATATAGTTTACCTATGAAAGAAAATATGCCATTTACCTAGAGTAGCTAAAATAAGTTTGGTACAGTATACTTGGTCCTAAAATTAAAGGGACAAGAAGTTCAAGGAGTCACATTATTTTTTCATAACACCACACAACTACTTACGTAATTACGTTAAGTGCAAGCTCAGCAGAATGACACCTCTCCAACTTCTGCTTCAGAACAGCAACTTCTTCAGGTCTGGGTGGTTCATATTTCTTTACCAAGTTTCTCATGCCTATGCAGAAAAAAAAATTATCCTATAATAAAAGCCCAATATGCAAATTATTCAACTGGGAATTCGACTGCTCGCTATGACCTACGCTCATCACCAGGTGGCGGTGTGGAACATGGCAGGTGCCAGCAGTGGAGGCACTGCCACCCTGATGGACCCCAAAGAGAGTGTGACTGAGTCAGGATGGTGGAGCAGGTGAAGGGGTGGTGCCAGGCCATAGCAGGGTGCCAGGCAGGGCTGCAGGCCACCCTGAGGGTTCCCATCCTTGCACGAATTTATGCACCAGGCCTCTAATACTAGATAATAAGCCTTGCTTTCATAAGGCAGTTGAATATTTTTTCATATTGTTACAGAACAACAAAACACTCTTGAAATTATGTTATTCTTCTATTCAGGATTTGTACTCTGCATTAGAATATAATGAACACCATACTTCTAGATCAAATAATTATAACTGCCAGTGCTTAGTCCATATTATGCATAGCATAAAGACAAGCATGCCCTATAATATAGTATTTTTTTCTAATCCTACTGTGCTCACTTTTTGCTCAGTTTTAAAGCTTTTTAATAATTTCTTCATGATTTAGTAAACATGTTTTGTTCCCTGTCACTAACTATATTCATAATGTTCTATCCTGGGTCAAGAGTATACTTCTTACTAACAAAGGAAACCATCTATAATCTATAATAATAAAAGCGTAATATACTAATTAGACCAGATGTCCTCCTGGACGAAGCCCGGTTCCTGGGTGACTGCTGGCGGCTGGAGGGAAGCCCAGTCTCCAGGTGCCAGAGGGAAGCTGGTGCCGGCAGTCGGGAAGGAAGGCTACTCTTGCATGAATTTCATGCATTGGGCCTCTAGTTATTACATAATATGTAATAAAGGGAGGAAGTGTATTAAAAATATATTAATTGATGATTCTCTGCCTTAATACAAAACCTATGTAATGAAACATTATCAAGAAAACAAAAATATCCTTTTTTAGGCTTAAAATAAACTACTATGTCAGTGACTTTGTAACTGCAGAAACCTCCTCTACCTAAACTTTTACTCAACAACAATAATCCAAATAATATAAATATCAAAATTTATAAAGGAGATGATGAAAGATCCAGGACTTATTAGCCAGCCACATGCTAAAAATGGGTGACTATCCCACTGATTTCAGAATGCAAATAAAGCAGTGTTTTCAACTAAATTAATACTTGTGACTCAATGCCCCAGGACTATCTTGGTTCTGAAAAAAAGATGGAGAAGATACCTTAATATCGTTACAGTTCTGAGTATTTCATCAAGAGCTATTTCTATTTCATGTTAAAATAAGGGGGATAAAATTAAGGTGCTGAGAAGAAGTCAGCAATAAAACTGTCAGCTATAAAATGACCACAGTGCATTATCTTTAACGCCTCTTCTAATTACTAAATTCCATTATCCTATTTAAGACCAAATCACAGCACTGGAAGTGAATAGTGTAGTAGCATAACTGAAAACCTATAGTTTGTCATTCATAAATCAATTAAAAGGGGGAAGTCCTCCAGATCACTTCACACAGATAGCAAGAAGTGATGCTTCTATGTCCTGAAGCATTTTAACATGAAAAATATAAAAATTAAAACCATTTTCTATTATCAACCAAGATCCAAATCTTCAATCTCAAATTTTACTGGTTTAGTCAGCATTTAATTAAACTACAAATTTGATTAACAAGGACATTGGCACAAAAAGTTTTGGGGAAAAATACAATTTTCTTTTAATCCTAAAGAGCAGCCAAGTAGCTATGAGCATTCAGTGCCACAGACAAGAATGAAGAGCACTCAGGGCTGGCTAATCTAGCCAATCCAATAAGTAGAGGTTCTACTCAACCCCTAAAACAGTTTCTCAACATCAGCACCATTGATAGTTTGGGCCGGATAATTTTTTGTTGTAAGGGGCTATATTATCTTCCTGAGTCTACTATTAAAAATTACCATAAACTTAGTACAGCTTAAAAGAACATAAATGTATCCTCTCTTAGTTCTGAAGCCCAAGAACCTGAAGTCAATTTCTCTAGGCCACAATCAAAATGGTGGCAAAGCCACCCTCTCTCTAGAGGCCCTAGGGCAGGGGCAGTGAACATTTTTTCTGCCAAGAGCCATTTGGATAATTATAACATCATTTGCCAGCCATGCAAAATTATCAATATAAAAATTAGCCTGCTTGCACAATTTACAATAAGATTTGGAAACAGCTTAAGTGCCCAACAGCAGATGAGTGGATAAAAAAAAATATAGTACATCTACACAATGGAGAACTATGCTGTTGTAAAAAAGAACCCTCCATTTGCAACAGCATGGATGGACCTGGAGAGCATTATGCTAAGTGAAATAAGCCAGTTGGAGAAAGATAAATATCACGTGATCTCACTCATTTGTGGAATATAATGAATGAACAACATAAACTGATGAACCCAAAAATAGATCCAGAGACAAAGAAGCATCGAACAACCGTCAAACCTCAGAGGGAAGGCACAAGTGGGTAAAGGGGGATTGTGATAGTGTGTGTGTTAACAGATGAACCAAAGCACTTGTATGCATGCATAGAAGCATAACCAATGGACAGAGACAGTCGAGGGGTGAAGGCATGTGCTGGGGAGTGCGAGCGGCCGGGGAGAGGTCAATAGGGGAAAAAGGAAATATATGTAATATTTAAGTAATAAAAAATTAAAAAAAATTAGCCTGCTATATTTGGTCAAACATTTAATTAATTCATCCCTAATGCCCAGACAGGGCTAGGCCCTCCAGCTGAACTTTCCCCACTCCTGCCCCAGGGGGAGATGGATTCCTTCCCTTTTCCAGCTTCTGGTGGGCTGCTAGCATCCCTTGGCTTGTGGCCTTAACACTCCAATTTTCAAGGCCAGCATCATCAAATCTCCCTGTGCTTTCTTCACATTGCCTCCCGTGTCTCCCTCTCTGCCTTTTCTAATGAGGACTCCTGTGATTGCTTCTTGGATGATAATCCAAGATCATCTCCCCATCTCAAGATTCTTAACTTAATAACATCTGCATATATGTTAAGATTTATAGTCTCCAGGGATTAGAACATGACTATCTTTGAGAGATATTTTTCAGCTTTTCAAGGGGTATACTGTGAATTATAAGATGTTTAGCAGCATTTTTACTTCTACCCACTAGCTGCTGATAGCAGCCCCCATCACGCTCCAAGGTGTGACAACCAAAAAGGTCTGCAGATATTCGTGTACCTTCTATTTGCTCCCCACTGATATATCCTTCATGCCTCCATGATACAATAATTCAACAAAAGTAAACAGTGTTATCTCAATCAACTTAAAGATATTTTACAAAGTAGCTTTTTTATAGAATATTTTATAAAGTTCTCTTTTACTTACTTTTCATTATATCTAATAACTGTGATAAGCAAGTTCTGTTCTCTTTCAGCATCAGACTTTCTGATAAATAACTGGTAAAAAAAAAAAAAGGAAAAAAGTTGTAATCTATTAGACACATACAGCATTTTGAGAAAACCTGACAAATTATGTTCTTCCATGTTCATTTCATCATCAAGGTCAATTAAAAATCTTTTTCTTATTGATTTTAGAGAGAGGGAAGGAGTGTGGGAGGAACAAAGGAAAGGGCACAAAACACCGATTTGTTGTTCCACTTGTTTATGCATTCATTGGTTGATTCTTCTATGTGCCCTGACTGGGGATCAAAACCATACATAACTTGGGTATATGTATCAGGATAATGCGCTAACCAACGGAGCCAACCCAGCCAGGGCATCATCAAGGCAGTTTTAAAATTAATTTATTCACAATGTATTAAAAAACAGTAATTTGAACTCCACAAAACTATAACTTACAGCTCTTATAGTCTTACTGATTTATAATTTATATTACATTAAAAGATGTTTAATATCTATAATATATAAGCTCTTAGAGGTATGAAAATAACAGTAGCAACAGTTATTACTTTTAATGTTAAGTGTTTAATATATAAACTTTATGAGTCTGAACCTCATTTTAAAGATGAGGACCACATTCTTTAACTGTGAAAGTTTTTTAAGTTAGCAACTTCTAATTTCAATCTTGAATAAAAATTTTAATATTTTGATTTAAAAAATCCAAAGGCAAACAAGAATATCTAAGAAGTCAAGCTAGGAAATAAGAAATAAAGCTCTAAATCCAATGAAAAAGAAGAAAACCCAGAACTAACAACAGAACATCCTATGAGTAATAATCTAAAGCATTATCCAGAATATAACAATAGCACAAGGGCTTTTTATCCCCTTTTGAAATCAGCAATAATGTAAAAGCAATTAACCTACTCTCATTCGGGGTGGCAGAGTAAGTTAGCATTGTGCTTGCCTCCTCCCACGACCATATTAAAAACTACAACAAAATTATAGAACCATCACAGAAAACCATCTTTAGAACAGGATAGAAAAAAGAAGCCACACCAAGACTGGTAACAGGGATAGAGATGCAAAAATGAGCTGTTCCATCACCCAGGATGTGGCAATTAGAAGGAAGACTTCCATTCAAGATGGAGTAGGTAAACATGGTACGTACATCCTCCCAAAACCACATGAAAATTACAACTACAGAACAACCATCATTGAAAACCATGTGAAATCTAGCTGAATATAAGTCCTATAACTAAGGATATAAAGAAGCCACCTTGAGATTGGCAGGAGGGGTGGAGAGGCAGAACAGAGTGGTCTGCACCATGTGTGGTGATTAAAAATCACAAGGCATATATCTTGGCCATGGAGGTCCCCCATAGGAGTTGAGCCCCAGCCTCACACTAGGTTCCCCAGCCCAGTGTCCTAGTCTTGGGAAGAGAAGACCCAATAACTTCTGGCTGTGAAAAGCAGAGGAGATTGTGGCAGAATAAGAGGGAGGGCTGCTGGAGTCCCAGGTTATCCTCTTAAAGGGCTCATCTATGGACTTATTCCCTAAGATCCAACACTCGGGCAGTTGTTGGAAAGGCACCAAAGACATTTAAGAAGGAACTGAATTGTCTGGCTTTGGGGCAAGGGCTGGAGGGTTAGCTTTCTCCCTCACAAAGTGCTGGCAGAGGCTATTGCTCCTTTGCTGAGCCCTTCCCCTGCAGATGCAGACAGGCACCACATCTGAGTATCCATCAACCTGTTTGTGCCCTGGAAATTTCCTGAGACCTACTCCACCCTACTTGTTGACCCACCCAATCTACTTCCAGTGGTCTTTCCATATACACATCCTGTCCTGGCTTATGATCTGGATTTTCCTATATTCTCTCAAAGGTTCACAAACCCCAAACAAGCAACATCTGGCCTCAGCATGCTGCTTACCTCTTGCTAAGTGGGCACTAGCAGCTGGAGTCTGATCCGGCCCTACAGGTTTTTTTGGGCAGTGAGCGCAGCCGAGGTGTTACAGTAGGAATTAGTAGTTCATATAGTCCGGCCCTCCAGCTCTCTGAGGGGCCGTGATCTGGCCCCCACTTTAAAAAGTTTGAGGACCCCTGAGCTGGACTCAGTTCACAGCCTGGCCTCTCCTGGGCAACTCCAAAGCCCAGCACAAGCAACCATCATCTACTTAACATTTTGTTGCTCATGCTGGGTGGCCTTGGACAGAACACAGATGGTAGCTGACCATGGCCTACACCTTCTGGGAGACCCCAGAGACAGTGCAACATGGTAGCTAGCTTCAGACTTGCTGGCAGAGCTCTCTGCTGAAGCAAGTTCTGCTGTGTAGGGTCAGCCCCTGCATAACAACTCCAACCCTGTAGTTGCTAATCGACTTGAGGGTAGATCCCTCCCATTCACAAACCAACAGCAATCAAGGCTCAACCACAACAGGAGGGTGTACCCAACTCGCATGGGGTCGCACTTGGAGCACTCAGCTAAGAGGACCAGAGAGGCTGTGCCCTACAGGACACCTACTACATAAAGCCACCATACCAGCAGATATACCTAAATACACAGAAACAAACACAAAGACGCAGCCAAAATGGTAGATAAAGAAACATGTCCCAAATAAAAGAATGGGAGAAATCTCAAGAAAAAGAATTAAATAAAACAGAAGCAAGCACACTACCAATTACAGAGTTCAAAACAATGGTTATAAAAATGCTTATGGGATTCAGTGAGAATTTCAGCATAAAAAAGACACAGAAACCATAAAAAAGAACAGTAAGAAATGAAGAGCCTAACAACTGAAATGAATATACCAGAAAGAATCAATAGCAGATTAGATGAAGCAGAGGATCAAATCAGTGACTGGGAAGATAAGGTAGCAGAAAACACCCTTCCAGAGCAGCAGAAAGAAAAGAGAATTAAAAAAGAGAAAGAATAGTTTAAGGGATCCCTCGGACAACACCAAGTGTAATAACATCCTCATCTTAGAGGTACTAGGAGGAGAAGAGAAAAAGCAAGAGACTGAGACCCTATTTGATAATAACAAAACTTCCCTAATCTGGTGAAGAAAAAAGCTCTGAAGTCCAAAACAAGATGAACACAAAGAGTTTCACACCAAGACACAACTAATTAATATTCCAAAGGTTAAAGACAAAGGGAAATTTTTAAAACAGCAAGAGAAAAGCAGGTAAGTTACATACAAGGGAGCTCCTGTAAGACTGTGAGCTAATTTCTCAATAGAAACTTTTGCAGGCCAAAAGAGATTGGCATGAAATAGTCAAAGTGATGAAAAGCAGGGATCTATTAGGTCTAGTAATAATTAATGTCGTTTTCTAATACTTTTTTAAGTCGAATTTATTTAAACAATACAACAAAATTTAATCAACAATATAGTTGCCGTTGTTTTCTACTACTTGTGCCCAACGCTCAGGAAGCATTTTAATCCCTTTGTTGTAAAATTCTTGTGATTTTGATGCAAAAAATTCGGTCAATGCATTTTTGAGGCATTCTTCATTATTAAATTTTTTTCCAAGAAGAAAGTTTTGCAAAGAACGAAACAAATGGTAATCGGAAGGGGCAATATCAGGAGAATATGCAGGTTGAGGGAGAACTTCCCATTCCAACTGGCGCAGTTTTTCAGCAGTGATTCTTGCAGTATGCGGTCGTGCGTTATCCTGGTGAAGAATTATGCCCTTCCGATTAATCAGCGCGGGTTCTTTTGCTCTTAAAGCTTGGGCTAACCTTTCCAATTGGGCACTATACACTGCACTTGTAATGGTTTGGTTAGATGGTAAAAGTTCATAATGAAGAATTCCTTTAAAATTCCACCAAACACACAACATCACTTTTTTCGCATGCAAGTCAGGTTTTGGCGTGGGCTGCGGAGCCTCATTTTTGTCCAACCATTGAGGCCGCCTTTTCAAATTAACATACAGCACCCATTCTTCATCTCCGGTAACAATTTGCTCTAAAAACGGCAAACGGTTTTGACGAGAGAGGAGCGAACTGCAAACTGTGACTCTTTGATTATGGTTGTTGTTGGTCAACTCATGAGGAACCCATTTTCTAAACTTTTGGACTTTGCCAAGTGCACGCAATTGATTGGAAATTGTTTTTTGTGAACAATTTAAAGTTGTCGCAAGCTCTTGTTGGGTAATTTGAGGATTTTGCACCAAAAGAGCTTGAAGAGCTTCTTGATCAAAATTGGACACACGGCCTCGACCACTCTTGTCATCTAACGAAAAATTTCCCTCGCGAAATTTCTCAAACCAACGCTGGCATTTTCTGGCGCTAACTGCATCTTGACCAAGAGCACTACAGATGTTTTTTGCAGCCTCACTTGCTTTTCTTCCTAATTGGAACTCGTAAAGCATGCAGTGCCGAATATGCTCTTCATCCGCCATCTTCTTAGCCCTAGTTTTGCAACAAAAACCAAACCAAACACAAACTTTTTCAAGCAAAACTTGTTAATTGCACTTCACACGTTCTGTAGATACCACGTGTTTGAAGGTTATGTCAATACAAGTCAACGCCAAGCAAGATTTTAAACGAATGTTTAAAAACGACATTAATTATTACTAGACCCGATACAACCAAGATTACTCTACCCAGTAAAGCTATCATATAGAATCAAAGGATAAAAAGCTTCCCACACAAGAAAAAACTAAAGGAATTCATCACGACTAAATCAGAATTGCAAGATATGTTAAAGTATCATCTTTATGAAGATCAAAAATATAAACTGGTAATAAATACATACCTATAAACAATTACTTTAAATGCAAATGGATTAAATGCTCCAATCAAAAGACTGAATGAATGGCTAGCTGAATGGATATGAAAACAGTACCATTACATGCAATGTCTACAAAAGATTCAGTTCTGATAGAAATATACAGACTGAAAGTAAAAGGAAAAAAGACGTTTCATGAAAAAGGAAAGAAAAAACCACCACAAAAACTGTGTCAGCAATATTCATACCAGACAAAATAGCCCCTAAAACAAAGGCAATATATATAACAAGACACAAAGAAGGACCCAGTAGCCGAAGCCGGTTTGGCTCAGTAGTAGAGCGTCTGTCTGCGGACTGAAAGGTCCCAGGTTCGATTCCAGTCAAGGTTATGTACCATGGTTGCAGGCACATCCCCAGTAGGGGGTGTGCAAGAGGCAGCTGGTCGATGTTTCTCTCCCATTGACGTTTCTAGCTCTCTCTCTCTCTCCCTTCCTCTCTGTAAAATATCAATAAAATATATATTTTTAAAAAAGGACCCAGTAATTCCACACCTGGATATTTATCTGGAGAAACTCAAAACACTAAATCAGAAAGACATATGCACCCATATTGTTCATAGCATCCATCCATCTATCTATCTATCTATCTATCTATCTATCTATCTATCTAATCTATCTATCTATCTGAAAGCCTAAGCAACCCTCCAACTGATAGCTATGATGTGCACCGACCACCAGGGGGCAGACGCTCACCAAGGGCACTGTGGAGCTGCAGTGACTTGGCAGCTGTGGTTCTCAGGAGATGCAACCGGAAGCAGAGAGGAGGGAGCCTGATTCTGGGATGCGTCACCCAAGAACTGCCCTCTCGCAATCCGGGACCCCTCAAGGGATGCCAGAGAGCCGGTTTTGGCCCAATCCCCACAGGCCAGGCCGAAGGACCTCACCAGTGCCCGGATCTTTGCACCAGACCTCTATTTATAAAAGCCAAGATATGAAAGCAACTTAAGAGTCCATCAATAGATGAGTGAATAAAGAAGTGATGCACTTATACAGGGTGGGGTAAAAGCAGGTTACAGCTATTCATATGTAAAAAAAAACAAAAAAAACAAACAAAACTGTGTTTTGCATACCCAACCACTATAAACCTACTTTTGCCTCACCTTGTACAAGGAAAGATGACTCAGCCATAAAAAAGAATGAAATCTCACCATTTGCCACAACAAAGATGAACCTAGAGCAGAGGTCAACAGAGCCAAATACCAACAGTGCAACGATTAAAATTACTTTTGAGAGACAAAATTTTTAAACTTCTTCTAACGCAACTTCTTCAAAATAGACTCGCCCAGACCGTCGTATTTTGTGGAAGAGCTATACTCAAGGGGCCAAAGAGCGACATGTGGCTCACGAGCCGCAGTTTGCCGACCACAGACCTAGAGAGTATTGTGCCAAGTGAAATAAGTCTGAGAGAAATACAAATGCCATATTATTTCACTTATATGTGGAATCTAAAAATCAAAGTAAACAAATAAGCAGAATAAAAATAGATTCATAGATGCAGAGAATATTTTGACAGTTGCCAAATGAGAGAAGAGCTGGGGGCTAGATGGAAAAGATAAAGGAATTAAAACTTACAAATTGGTAGTTACAGAATAGTTATGGGGATGTTACTTATATCACAGGGACTATAGTCAATAATCCTATATAATAAAAGCCTAATATGCTAAGTGTCCAGTCATCCAGAGGGCCATTCAACAAATCAAAGCATAATATGCTAATGATATGCTAAGGCCATTCAACTGCTCACTATGACATGCACTGACCACCAGGAGGCAGATACTCCAACTGGTAGGTTAACTTACTGGTGGGGTTCGGCTGACTGGAACTGAGCAAGACGGGCCAGACACTCCCTGGAGCCCTCCCACAGTCCCTCCCTGGCTGGCCAACAGGGGGGGATCCCTCAGCTTGGCCTGCATTCTCTGGCAATCTGGGACCCCTTGGGGGATGTGGGAGAGCTGGTTTTGGCTCGATCCTTCAGGCCAGGCCGAGGGGCCCCACTGGTGCATGAATTCATGCACTGGGCCTCTAGTATTGTAATAGTTATGTATAGTGTCATATGGGTACTAGTTCATTAAGTGATCACTTTGTAAGTTATATAAATGTCTATTTACTGGGTTATACAACTGAAACTAATAGGATACATACTACATGAGGCCACTCTGACCACACTAGGAGATGTAACAGATGTACTTAATACATTGAAAAACACATGGAGGTAGGCAAAATGAGACAGAAACAAGTCTCAAATGAAATAATGAGACAAAATTTTAAAAAGGAGAAGAGATGAACTCAGTGAACACACATAAAGAGAAACCATTAAATAAACAGTCAGAAATTTATAATATAAAAACTGAAACATTATATAGAATCAACAGTATTTTAGATAAAGCAAATAATAAAATCAGTGATCTGGAATTCTAGGCAGCAAGAAATACCCAATTGAAATAGTGAAAAGAAAAAAATAATAAAAAATGTGAGGACAGTTTAAGGTACTTTGGGATAAGATTAAACATTCACTATTTGCATCAGAGGGTACCAGAAGAAGAGTATGAGCAGGGGACTGACAACATATACTTGTATGTGTACACACATACACACACGCATGCACACACATATGTAGGATCCTAAATATGTAAAGCAAATATTGGTGGACACAAAAGGAGAGATCAACATTAACACAGTAATAGTAGCGGATTTTAACACCATATTGATATAAATAGATTGATTATCCAGGCAGAAAACTGACAAGTAAACAGGGGCCTTAAATGAAATATTAGACCAGATGCATGTTATTGATATTTTTAGAACATTTCACTCAAAAAAAGCAGAATATACATTCTTTTCAAGTACAATTGGAACATTTTCTAGGATCGACAATATGTTAGGACACATTTAAGAAGATTGACATTATATCAAGTACCTTCTCCAATACAATGTTAAGAAACTATAATACAATAGAAATCAATTGCTACAGAAGAAAGCAGAAAAATACAAACACCTGGAGGCTAAATTAACAAGCTACTAAACAATGAATGGGTTAACAATGAGGTCAAGAAGAAATAAGATACCTTGAGACACATGAAATTGAAAACCCCAAATCTATGGAATATAGTTCTAAGAGGGAAATTCATAGTAATCCAGGCCTACACCTCAAGAAACAAGAAAATCTCAAATAAACAATATAACCTTAAATCTAAAAAGGAACTAAAAAAAGAACAAAACCCAAAGCGAGTAAAAGGAAATAATAAAGATCAGAGCTGAAATAAAATAAGTCTACAAACATATAAAAAGATCAATAAAACCAAGAGCTGTTTGGTGTTTTTTTTTTGAGACGATAAAGAAAAGTGATAAACCTTTAACCAGACTCATCAAGAAAAAGAGAGAATCAAAATAAATAAAATCAGAAGTGAAAGCTTAATGACTGACAACACAGGAATGCATAGGATTATAAGGAAATACAAATAACAATTATATGCCAACTAATTAGATAACCTGGAAGAAATGGCTAAACTCCTAGAAACATACAATCTTTGAAGACCAAATCTATTCGATAGAAGATACAGAAAATGTGAACAAACCAATTAACTACTACTAAAATAAAATTGGTAAAAAAAAAAAAAAAAATCCCAACAAAATTTTTGACCAGATAGCTTCACAGGCGAATTTTAATACACATTCTAATTAGCACCAATTCCTCTCAAATCATTCAAAAAAAAAAAATTGAAGAGGGAAGGGTCCCAAGCTCATTGTGTGAACCCAATATTACCTTGAATCCAGAACCAGACAAAAACATTATAAAAAATAAAATAAAAATTTTAAAAGAAAATTATAGGCCAAAAATCCTTAATGAACCTCGTTCTCATTGTGCATTTATGCATTAACTATTACTATTTACAACTGAACTGCAATTCATTTGGACATTCTTTAAAGTATTATTCGTTCACTAAATCTTTACTAAATTCCATATGCCACACATGCTTCATAGCAGAATAATGATAAATCAAGGCAGACATATTTTTGGCACTCATGTTGATCACTAGTTCACAAAACTTCTAAATTTGCCATATACTGATAGCTGTATCAGTCTTTTGAAGATCATCTGATTTACTTCTTTAGTCATAAACAAATCCTCTTAGCTCAAAAATATCATACTCGATTTTTAAAGATTTCCTTAAAAAGTGATTTCATTTCTTCCCTCAGTTGCCCTAACCCTTCCAGCCATAGGAGATATATAGGACTCTATTCACAAAATGAACCTTACTTAAAAACTCAGATTCCAGTAGGCAGTGGTCGGCAACTGCGGCTTGAGAGCCACATGCGCCTCTTTGGCCCCTTGACTGTGGCTCTTCCACAAAATAGCACGTGTGGGTGCATACATACAGTGTGATTAAAACTTTGTGGCCCATGTGCAGAAGTCGGTTTTCGGCTCTCAAGAGAAATTTCAATCGTCGTACTTTTGATATTTGGCTCTGTTGACTAATGAGTTTGCCGGCCACTGCAGTAGGAAATAAATTGAGTGTCTGAATGATCTAAGTTAAAACACAAATTAGTACCTTTCCATAGTAATTCCTGCTCTAGAAGCACTAGATAAAACGGCAGTCAGGGCGATTTGAGAAGGTGTGTATAAAAGATAAGCATCTGTCAGCGCAACTCTGTTAAGAAAGTCATCTGCTGTTTTCCTCAAAACCTCAGGGTTCTCCAACATGGGATAGCGAGTCTAGAAAGAAAGTTTGCAGATGTTATTACTTATGAGGGCTTAATGGAGTGACAGTTCAAAATATTCACATTAACCAGAAATTAACACAGGATGCTTTTATAAAACTCTTTTTTCTATATTCTAGTAAGAACAATCTTTCCATGTAATATTTTGTACTCCCTATTAGAATGTACTGAAAGTGCAGTTGTTAAATAAGAAATATATGTTTTAAAATAATATAGCTCAAGTTCCCAGCATACTACTTGGCTATTCTGATTTATGTTAATCCCTCTCTTTGTCCTTTTACACAAGAGGAAGTACGGGAAAGGAGGCTCTTAGAAATTCCACTGGGTCTGGAGTTGACCCAAGAAATATATACTTCCAGGTAAACAATTCCTGGTGATTCAGATGTAAGACAATATTTAGGAACCAAAACTCCACCTCATTTTGATTTGAAATTCCTCTACTTAACATTTACTTTTGGAAGGAAGAAAATATAAATAAATCTTGGTTTAATTACAGAATTATTATTATTTTTTAATATATTTTATTGATTTTGTACAGAGAGGAAGTGAGAGAGAGAGTTAGAAACATCGATAGAGAAAGTTATCCATCAGCTGCCTCTTGCACACCCCCTACTGGGGATATGCCCACAACTAAGGTACATGCCCTTGACCAGAATTGAACCCGGGTCCCTTCAGTCCCCAAGCCGACGCTCTATCTATTGAGCCAAACCGGTCTCGGCTACAGAATTATTTTTAGAATATGCCTAAGAAATATGAAAGTTCCCATATTTCCTAACAATTATTTCCTTTAACATGAACCCGAAGTCCTCGGATTTACTATAGATACCCACAATCAGCTCCAAAAGTAGTAAGGTATTTTCTATAATCTGAAACAAAAAAATCAGATATAGCCTTGGGTCTGTTTAGTGTAGTAGTTAGAGGTCGGTCCTCGGTCTGAAGGATAGTGGGTTCAATTATGGTCAAGGTCATGTACCTCAGTTGCAAGCTCCATCCCTGGTCCCAGATCAGGGTGCATGTGGGAGGCAACCAATCGATGTCTCTCTCTCACATCAATGTTTCTCTCTTTCTGTCTCTCCTCCTTCCTTCAACTCTCTCTAAAAATCAATGGGAAAAAATCCTCAGGTGAGGATTCACAGACTCAAAGACACACACACACAATCAGATATAATTGTGTAGTCACACTCAGGTGTAGTCATTATCCCAAAATGCCTAACCTTTGAAGTTCCACTTTTCCCTATACATTTGCTCAATTATTTCATAGCTATTCTTTGACTTCCTCCTTAGAACTTTTGATTTCTGGTGATTCCAGAGAAAACAATATAACTAAGAGATCTGGTATTATTATTATAAATTTAGGTTCCCTTATCTTAGCAAGGCTCAACACTGCCTACCTATAATGTTTCATAGAAAATATGTTCTATGTTTCAGTGTCTATGTTAAACATTCTCCATCTCTCTCAATGTCTTTAATAATTCTCAGAAACTATCACTCATAGAAAATGATATCTGCTCTTAACAAAGAAACTCTTGTGTCCTGCCACTAGCAAATTTCCAGGCATAACACTATGTTTTCCTCTTCCCTGCATTAAAAGAGCGACTGTTCTAAGGCCAATCCTTGTTATCTTGCTTTGAAACCCATGGCACCCCTTTATCTTACTCCAAAGAGAAACTTGAGCTACAGATTTTCTACCTTTCCGTTTAAACTCTCTCTCATTACCAGCTCCCTACATCAGCAGTTTCTTCCACAAACAAAACAGAAAGCTGTCCCTTTCCTCTCTTTCTAGCAGTTCCCTCATCTTCTCAGGAATCCCATCTTCTTTTCCACTTCAAAGACAAGCTGTCTAATCCAAATTACAAATAAGTGTTTGCTCAGTTATTTATTCCCCAAGTGGCTCCAATCTGCTTTCTCCCTCCATACTCCACAGAGACCACTTTCACCAAGATCACTTTTCTGGCACTAAACCCAGTAAGCGTTAACTATCTGCTAGTACTTTCACTCTACCTAAATTCTAGTGGGACTGGGGAGTTGCTCCTGTTCATCTTCTAAAAGTTTTCTACTTCCTTTTACTTTTCCAGAAAGTCCTACCTCGCTGGGTATTTTTCAGTCTTCTTTCTAGATTTGTGTATTTCTCTACCTACTCTTTAAATGATCCTCATCTAAATTTTCCACTTTCAGTGTTCTTGGGGCAATAGTGTCCAAGTTTAGCCATTTTTCTTACCTCCAGATACAAATGACTACCCACCCTGGATATGTTGCAGCCAATGGAAATTCAGCAGGTTCCATACCAATTTCATCAACCCCCCTCCCCAGGGTTGGGGTCTCACCTGTCCTCACTCTGTTTATGTAATTAAACCTCAAGGTCTACTGATTGTGCTTACTATCTCTGAAGTCCATTAAGCACACTCTACCCCCTGCTGCTACATGAGTCGAACTAACAGCATAATAACTGGTATCCTTTCATCCATTCTAATACATTCTCCACATTACCATGATACATACAGATGTGCAATAAGTATAAGATGTACACTGATGCATGACTTTGCAAACATGATTTATTTAAAGGTATAAACTTAATTTGACCCTCTCCAGACTTAACCTTTCACTGACTTACTCCTGCTCTATTCAAAACCCTTAACATCACTTCCAGTCTTGGCTCTCTCTTGCCTTCCACTGAGGCAGCACTCTGTGGCAGTATTCCCCTCAATCTCTAAGCTGCTTATGTTTTTTAATGCACCACAGTTCTTGAATCCGGGCCTTTGACTCGAGAAGTCCTATTGGGATGTTCTTTCACTGCCAAATTCCTACTCATACTATGAACTTCACTCCCCCCTTCCGCCCCACCCTTGATTTTCAGAGAGTGGAGGGAGAAAAGAGAGTAAAACATCAATGTGAGAGACATACAAGGACTGGTTGCCTCCCACAAAACTCCCCTACCAGGGGTGGGGAGCAAACCCACAACCCAGGTACATGCCCTTGAAAGGGAATTGAACCTGAGACCCTCCAGTGCATGGACTGATGCTCTCTCTAACCACTGAGAAACACTAGCCAGAATTGAACTTTATTTTTATTTTTTTGAACTTCACCTTAAAATGACACTTTCTCAGAACTAGCTTCCCTTTCTCTCAATCTGCTATCTCCTTCAAACATAACCTGTATTTTCCTCTCTGTAACACTGAGCACAATGAATATGTGATTATTTTCCCCATTAGATAGTAAGGGGTTTAAATGTTGAGGCTGCTTCTGGCTTCATCATCAAGGACAATGTTTGGCAAATAGAAGGTACTCAAATTTCACCTTTAAATGAGATGAATGAACCAGTTTCTGATTCTTGTTTGACTTTATGTTGACTATCCAAGTCCCCTTTTGGGGTCAAAACAAAATAACTTAAGACATTTTCATCGATATTATTTACTTACTTTTTTATGCATATATATTGATTCCAGTTCATAATGCATTAAAACTAGAAGTCACTTAATTTTCTAGTTTAAAATTAAAAATTTATTTTTAAGGTTCTTTAAATCAGATCTATGACAGTATAGTTCAGAGTTATAAGAGTTACCTTAAGTTTTAAAAGCATTACTCTAAATTCATAATGGTCCTCCTTATGACCCCTGAATCAGTATTAGCAGATCTACTAAATCAGAAGCTCGGACTGCAGCCCAACAAGGAGTTAACAAGCCCTCCAGGTGATTCCTGATGTACACTTAAGTTTGAGAACTACTGCCATAGAGGTCCAGGCCACACTCACTTTTAACTGAACCCATGTTTTAATAAGATAATTAAAAGTTATATAAACTTTTGGATTCTTTTGCTTATAGAACAAAGCAAAGGGGTACACTCTACTAGTTTACTTTATATCAAGATTGAGATTACCTTTAAATCAATGAGAAAGCCTTCAAATGGTCTATAAGGATTGTGGACAATAAGGTGGAAATTAAGTTGCTGTATAAGAAGCAGTTCATATTCCAAAATCTGTTCAAGTGTCTTCTCCTGCCCAAGAGGGCTATCCCGCAGATTTCCAACAAATTGCACACTAGACACATTGAATTCATCCACTTTGCAAGCCAAAAATGCACAAGTGAGCCTACAGGAAAATATAAGGAATATGAGGGATCTTAAATTCAGAATAGAATGCAAGTCCTTTATTAGGAAATAATATTTTCTCTCACACACATAACCAGGGATATGCATATATTTTGAAAAATATGTAAATACTTTATTTCTAAAACTAAATTCTAAAACTGACTAATATTCACAAGTGAATATAGTAGGCATTACAGAATATAATATATATATACATATATGTATATATAAAATATATCCTATCTAATAAAAGAGTAATATACAAATTGACCATCACTCCAACACACAAGAAGGCTGCCCCCATGTGGTCAAAGATCCTGCCCCCACGTGGACACAAGATTGCCACCACAAGATGGCCAGCAGGGGAGAGCAGTTGGAAGGGACCAGGCCTGCAAGGGTGGGTAGTTGGAAGCAATCAGGCCAGCAGGGGAGGGCAGTTGGAAGGGACCAACCCTGCAAGGGAGGGCAGTTAGGGGTGACCAGGCCGGCAGAAGAGAGAAGTTGTGGGCAACCAGGCCTGCAGGGAAGGGCAGTTGGGAGGGGAACCAGGCCTGCAGGGGAGAACAGTTGGGGGGGACTAGGCCTGCAGGGGAGGGCAGTTAGGGGCAATCAGGCTGGCAGGGGAGCAGTTAGGCATGAATCAGGCTGTCAGGGGAATGGTTAGGGGGTGATCAGGCTGGCAGGCAGAAGTGGTTAGGCAATCAGGAAGGCAGGCAGGCGAGCAGCTGGGAGCCAATAGTCCTGGATTGTGAGAGGGACATCTGAATGGGCAGTTTAACATCCCTAGAAGGGTTCCAAATTGGAGAGGGTGCAGACTGGGCTGAAGGACACCGCCTCCCCCATGCATGAATTTTGTGCACAAGGCTATATATATATATATATATATATATATATATATATGGATGGCCCGGTGCACAAAATATGAGAGAGAGAAAGAGAGAGCGCGCGCAAGAGAGAGAGAGAGAGATTTGTTTAAAGTTTTAAATCCATAGGACACTATAAAATTAGGTTGAATTGTGTAATACTGCCACTGCATTCAACCATTACTGTCTTACTGGCAATTTCATATAGTTCAACCTAAATATCTGGAATAACAAAATAACTGATAAAAAGGAGTACTTTTTATCATGAAATAACAGATGGAAGAGAAAAAATGTACAATAGTACACACATATGTACCATATGAGCAGGGGATAAATGGCAGGTTAAAGAGCTACCTTTGTGGAAGGATTATCAGTGGAAGTCTCCAAAGGCATTGAAATAGGGCATTATTTACTTCCAAACAAATCTATGCAACTCTCATAACTAGTAAGAAAATTACCACAAAAATCAAGATTGGAAGTAACAAGGGCTTGATCTAGACTGGTAGAAACAGGAAAAAGGAGAAAACAAACAAACAAACAAACAGGGATAATGACATTGACAGCATGCTCTTTGATGAGTCACATACTATTTTCAATTTTATCTTTAATGATAAGCATAGTGCTCAGCAGAGCACAGAAACCCAAAGATCTTTGTTCAATTTGAATGAATCCTATATGGACTTATAAGATTTGTAAACTAACTGGATGTAGAAAGACAGGAGCTACCATTAATGGTTCTCACTCAGCAACTAGAAGAAGAAAGGTGCCATTAACAGAAAGGGGTATTAGGGAAGCTAGCTTAGAAAAAAAAAAATAACACAATTTGAACCTGGACAAGTTAAAGTTCAGATGCCATCAGTATTACAGGGAAGTGTTACAGATACATAAGAAGTGTGCTCAGGGATCTTAAGTTCAGTATAGATTGCAAGTCTAAATTACCTTTTACTAGGAAATAATTTTCACACACACACACACACAGTCAAGTAGTATAAAGGTCTTGTTAAATAAAAATCAATAAATTAGACAGACTTATACTCACATTATTATCCGGGGGTGATATTCCATTACTGAGTTATTGAGATAAAAACGCTTGAAATACATACAAGCTGTACCCTAAGGTTAAAAAAATATATATTATCAGAATTTATTCACACATACATGTTAAATTTAGTTTTAAAAAAATAAAACTTATTTGTCAAAAGTTTCTTTGAAAACATTTATTTGCAAAGCTATGCACCCCTATCATTATTGCAGCATATTCATGGTGGCAAGACATGGAAACAACCAGTGTCCTTCAATAGGATTGGATAAAAAAGATACAATACAGATATACTACTTAGCCTTAAGAAAAGATGAAATACTGCCATTTGCAACAACATGTATGGACCTGGAGAATATTATGCCAAGCAAAATCAGTCAGAAAAAGCTAAGAACCATATGATTTCACTCATATGTGGGACATACAACTGAAACTCATAGACACAGACAGTAGGGTAATTACCAGAAGGAAGGGAGGTGAGGGGTAGTAAAGGATGAAGGGGGTCAAACGGTAACAGATGATTTGACTATGGGTGGAAGGCACACAATGCAATATACAAACCATGTATCATAGATATGTATCCCTTGAAACCTACATGATTTTATTAACCAATGTCACCTCAATAAATTGACCTTAAAATTTTTAAAAAAGTTATTCATACAAAATATCAAACCTTAATTCTTTAAGCAAAATAATTGCAATGAAATGTTACAGAAACACCAGAGCCAAGACTTTGTTGTCCTTTACCACACACCCTGGGTTATCCTTCATATGGTTATTGGCTTATTAAAAAACTAGAGGCCCGGTGCACAAAATTCGTGCACAGGGTGGGGGTGTGTCCCTCAGCCCAGCCTGCACCCTCTCTAATCTGGGACCCCTCGAGGGATGTTAAACTGCCTGTTTAGACCTGATCCCAATGGGATCAGACATCCCTCTCACAATCCAGGACTGCTGGCTCCCAACTGCTTGCCTGCCTGTCTTCCTGATTGCCCATAACTGCTTCTGCCTGCCACCCTGATCACCCCCTAACCACTCCCATGCCAGCCTGATTGATGTCTAACTGCTCCCCTGCCAGCCTATTTGCCCCTAACTTCCCTCCTCTGCTGGCATGGCCACCCCTAACTGCCCTCCCCTAAAGGGTTGATCACCTCCAACTGCCCTCTCTTGCAGACTTGGTCCCTCTCAACTACCCTCCCTTGCAGGCCTGGTGCCTCCCAACTGCCCTCCCTGCTGTCCATCTTGTGGTGGCCATCCTGTGTCCACATGGGGGCAGCCATATTGTGTGTAGGAGTGATGGTCAATCTGCATATTACTCTTTTATTAGATAGGATGTTGTATTTATGTTAGAATTCAGATTAATTTAGAAAAATTAAAAAAAATATTAATGTTCATAGGTTAACCAGTCAATTTAAAAATATTAAGTATAACACAGTTGGGGCAGTAAGCCTTCTCTCTAAATCTACTCCAAATCTGTGATATTAACCATGGTTGCTGCTACCAAACCTAACAGTAGAAGCAGCAGCTACTGTTTATTGACTGCAATGTGCCAGGCTCTGTGCCACACACAAAGCTACCATCTTATTTAAACCTTACAACAGCTGATGAAACATTGCTATCTTCACTCTACAAAGAAGAAAACCGAGTATCAATGAGTTAAGCTGACTTGTTCAAGGTCACACATCTTCATAAGGGACAGGGCTGGGTTCAACAAAGACCTGCCTGTACTTTTAGCCACTATGTTATATGGCTAGAACCAATGAAATAAATATTTATCTATTTCATGATAGAAAAAAAATATTTCCTTTTATATATTTTATGTGAAACAAAAAACGAAATTCTTAATCCATTATAAATAAGCATCTATATATATAAAAGCCAAGCAACCGTCAGACCGTGCACTGGCTGGGCAACCAGCCCGACTGGGGACCAGCCCCTCTCTCCCTCCCTCTTCCTCCTGCCAGCCCAGCCAGGCCTGATCAGAGGAGGGGCTAGCTGGCCAACTGCCCCTCCAGCCAGCTCCACCCCCAACCGGCCCGACTTGTGCACGAATTCTTTCACCAGGACTCTAGTGTTTCATAAGACAAATTCCACAAAGTTGTTCATTCAAGGACTCAGTTTCTTCAGTTGAAAAGATCATTTAAACCCACTACTTCAACAATAATTCTCTTAATCAGAAAAGAGCTAAATCTGGAGATAGAAGCTAATCAAGTATATCTAAAATTCTTCCTGAATCTTTGATCTCTCTGGTTAAGATCTAGTAAACTGCCAAGACCAGTCTGGCTCAGCGGATAGAGCGTCTGCCTGCGGACTGAAGGGTCCTGGGTTCGATTCCGGTCAAGGGCATGTGCCTTGGTTGTGGGCACATCCCCAGTGGGGGTTGTGCAAGAGGCAGCTGATCGATGTTTCTCTCTCACCGATGTTTCTGACTCTCTATCCCTCTCTCCTCCTCTCTGTAAAAAAAAAAAAAAAAAAAAATCTAGTAAACTTAAGTCGCTACGAGTATTTTTAGACTTAATATGTTCAATAAAATTCAATTTTTTCAACTATAAAGTGGAGATTATTTCCTAGGGGATTATTCCCTACTGTGTCCTAAGATATTCACTCTATATGACTTCAAAACTTAACACATACATTCAATTAAGAGACTTGCATATTTGATCTTCACAACAAATCTGTGAGATAATAAGGAAAAAATATTTTATACTTCTCCCCCTTTTTTTTCTGTATCTTTCAGCTTTTTAACCTCAGCTTAACTTCTATAAAATATAATACACAAAATAGGAACAATTACAGGTACAGTGTATGTAAACCTATATAGCCAAAAAATTCAAACTACCTGTTTCTCCTCACAATTGCCCCATCACAGTAAGCACACACCTACACACAAATGGAGTCCTCAGAATCATGTATTTGAAACAGCACAAGAAAATTTTTCACCCAAAGAAAATATCCAGCTTCTATAAATCAGGTTTAAAAATTCCTTATAGCATAAGCTTCAACTATGGATCTTTTGATTAAAAATATGAATAACTATTATTTCAAAGATATTTCTGTGATACAGATGAAAAAGCACTCCTCTATGTTCTGGTCCTAGTTCTACTGAGGATCTGGAGGGAAATAGTTTAATTTTTTCTTTCTTTATAAAATGAGGATGTCATTATCTAGAAGAACTCAAAATTCTTCTGACTATGAAATTAGACTTGTAACATTTTGTAAGATATAATATAGGAATTCATAATTTAAGAGTATTGAAAAATACATAAAGTGACAAAAACTTAAATACATATATTATATATTTATATAACTAAGTTGCATTCCTGAATAAAGTGGATATAGGATTGAGCTACAAATTTAGAAGAGTTCATATTTCAGAAGTCAGCCAAAGGACATTATACTTCATCACTAACATAACTTACCACCACAGACCTCGGCATTGCTGGCTTAAACACTGAACAAAATTCCAATAATCTTTTCTCATAGTATTTGCACAGTGTCAATTCTTCATGAGGCTCAAGAAAGACTGGATCATTTGGAAGAACCTTTAGATAAAAAGTTACAACAAAAGTTCAGTAAATTAAATGCTCTTAAAATATTTTTCCCAGTCCAGATCAGTTTACATCTCCAGCCAAAGGGAAATACACTACATCTCATTTTCTTTATAAAATTATTAAATATTACGTAAAATAGCATTGGGAAGATAATTAATTAGAACTATACCATCATTTCACAATTTCTCAGAGTGTCAGCTGGACATTTGCTTCATTACAGTATAAGCAATCCTGATGTTGTGTGTGCATGTGCTCACAGGTATGTGAAATCAAAAAGAAGTATACACTGTTAATAGTTGGAAAGTTTTCAAGACTCCTTTCTCAGTCACACAGGTTGAGATAAAAATCAACAAGGGTCTCAAGGATAATTCTGACTTTGAAAACATTACCTCTCATCCATCTTTGTAAACTCTCTACACTCGATACACTTGATGGTTAACAAATACAACTTCACAACAACTGGTTTAATTACAACTACCAAAATAAAAAATATATTGACATCCTAACCCCCCAATACTGGCATACCTCGTAGACATTGCGGGTTCAATTCCAGACCACCGCAATAAAGCAAACAGTAACCTTTTTGCAGGCGGAAGGTCTTGCCTTCAGTTTGTAACAAACACCTGTGAAGCGCAATAAATGATGCTCAATAAACCGAGGTAGGCCTGTACCTCTGAATCTGACCTTATTTAGGAAGTCTCTTCAGGTGTAATTAGTTTAGGTAAAATCATACTGGAGTAGAACGGCTCCTAATTCAATATGACTATTACCCTTAACATGTGAAGATAACAGAGAGAACACTATGTAAAGACGAAGGTAGAGGTTGGGTTGGTGTTATGCTTCCACAAGCAAAAAAACTCACAAAACACCTGAGGTTACCAGAAGCTGGAAGAGAAAAAGAAGAATCTCCTCCTGGAAGCTGCAGAGAACCCCCATGAACCAAAGCTTGGTCTCAGACTTCTAGCCTCCAGACTGTGAAACAATAATTTCTCTTTTTTTAAGGCACCCAGTTTGTGGTTAAAAAAATTGTGTTTTTTTTTTTCTTTAATGGCAGCCCTAGGAAACTAACACAGGCCCTCATTTTATAGACAGCATGTAATTGTGGTGTAGGGCAGGAATGTTGGAACTAAATTCTTTGGGTTCAAAACCTGCCACTTACTAGCAATAATCAAGCCTGGAGAAGTTATTCAGCCTCTCTGCACCTGATTTCCCCAGCTGCAAGAGGAGGAAAATAACAGCATCTACCCCAGGCGATTAAAAGAGCTCATCCTTGCTAAATGCTTAGAACACTGCCCGCCCTAGCACATAGCACGGTGCATATTAAGTACGACTTAGAGCAAAGGTAAAAAAAAATAAAAAAAAATAAAAAATAAGTACAGTATCTCAGTTCCAGGTGTGAGACGTCGAACACTTGCTGGAGGGAAGATTGAACAGAAGGGTGACCGGGAGCTAATCACAGGAAGAAGTTGGCTGGCAGGCCGTAATTCTCCATCAACTGGTTTGTGAGAATGGTCTCCAGTCTCCCTGCCTCCAACCTGCCCCATCCAATCCATTCCCCACCAGGATGCCAGGGGACTTTTTTTTCCCCAGCACAGAACTATGATGAAGTTCATTTGCCACTTCACGTCTTTCAAAAGTCCTCAATCCCTCCATCGCCAAGTTCCACCTCCTCCTCATTCCCGCTCACACATCCCCTGCCCCTCCTGTCCTGCACACACGCTCAGCTCCCGCTCCACACCACCTTCCCAGGGCATCTCAGGCTCCCGCCCGGCAGCCCCCCCTCCCCACCTGTGGCTCCGTCCGCCTGGAGTGGCCTCTCCCCGTCTCCCCTGCGGCGGTCACTGGGAAAGGCCTCCCTGGACACCCCAGCTGGACAAGTGAGAGAGGCCCGAGTCCCGCACCAGCTGACGCCCTACGAAGCCTCTTCCCCGCCAGGTTACCGGGGACGGACGGCGGGGACGGCGGGTCCGCCTCGGAGCCTGCAGCCCGGGCCGGCACGCTCCCTGTTTAGCAAACAGGTACCCGCGCGCCGCGAAGGCAGGGGAGGGGGGTGTGCAGGGAGCCCCCCGCGGAGGGGAGGCGGGACGGGGGGGGGGGGGGATCCCCGCAGCTTCCCAGGAGCTCAGAGGCCGGGAGAGCCGGCGGCCGGCCGAGCCCTCACCTTCCCGTTCGCCACCGCCTTGCATTTGAACTTGCGGTTGGCGTCGGCCCGCAGCCGCGCCAGCTGGTCCTCGCCGGCGAACGTCCAGTGCCGCTTCTGGCTGCTGTTGTGGTACATCCTGGAGCCTGAGACCAGGTCCGCCCGCCCGGGGTGGGAGAGAAGGGGGAAAGACCCCGAACGCCGCCACGACGTGCCGGGAAGCACCCAACCCGCGACGGCTGAAGGCGCCTGGCTCGCCGGCGCGGGGCCGCGGACGTCACGGTCACGTGGCGACTCCGTCCGCACTCGCGCTTCCGGTGCGGAGTGGAACGCCTCTCGCGTGGTCTGGCCAACCGCCGCCTGTACGTCAGTGGGCGGGGCCTGCGGAGGCGCCCGGACACTGGCTCCGCCCCTCTCCTGCAAAATTTAAAGGAGAAGCGACGGGCAGGGTGTCCAAAGGGATATAAATGGAGCGTGTGGAGAGGCTAACATAAATAATTCACAGCGGGTCATCAGAAGTGGGGAGAGGGCCCGGGAAGGTGTCATAGTTTGAATAGGCCACACTGGAAGGTGACTTTAAGCAAAGACTTGGAGGAGTTGGGAATTCACCCTGTGGGTCAGGTGGGATGGTCTTGGGGCAGATGGAACAGTGGAGGTTCCAGAGAAAGTGCCTGGGGATTTGCCCAGAGACTCTGCCTGGGGGTTCTGGAATAAGATTGGAAGACTAGAAGCAGAACTGTTTCTTTCCGTCCTGCCACTAATGGGACCCATTCTTTTCTGTGCCTTTTCCCTTTCCCTTCTGTTGGGTTGGATTGGAGTCTGCCAATCCTCTCCCTCTAGTTCCACCTCTTAAAGCCAGTTTTAGGGTTTTCTTGAGACTCTCATTTTTATTATTGCCCCAAGGAAATCTTACAATAAGCTATCTATTAACACTTAGGAGATTTACAATTTTTTTGTTACTACTACTTCTTTCAGAATTGCATTTGAGATACAACATTTACATTGATTTCAAAAGCCTTTGTTTTAGTGTCTGTCCATTTAGACACACACTATTCTCCTGTGCATCAGACATCAGGTGAGAAAGAGATTTACCTACAGCAAGTCATTTTTTAAAACAACAATAAATAAAAAACACATAAAGATAATGAAACACAAAGAGTTTAGATGTTGAAAAGGCAGACACAATTAAAATGAGGTGGCAGGGTATTTCTAACTCTGCTTTTTATGGAAAAGTTTTTAGAGGCTTAATAAAGGGATAATATTTTTTTGTTTGTTTGTTTCATTTAGGTGGGTGCAGTTAAGGGTAGAGTTTGCCAGAGTTGTTCGAATTCAAATAATTTATACCATTTGTAGTTTATAACTTGGAAATCCAGACACTCCTTGGACATGTGTCCATACTTGAATCAGTAAATTGGCTGAGGAAAGAGAGAAAATGAGAACAGGGATAAAGAAAATATGATATTAACCTAAAAAATAAAAAAGCAAAGTGACAGGCATCAAGCATTTGCTTGAGATCAAATTAGGGCAGCAATGATTCAGGCAGAAACCCAAATAATGTTCTGATTATGGGATGAAGGGGTTTTTATGAGAAAGGGAAAGGAAATAATTACTTGAATAGAATTTCTATTGGTGCTAAAGAGCTAAGTTCATTTTTAGCTACAGATGGTGGTGCTAATTCTAAAGCCTGTCCTTAACTTTCAGTCCTCATAGTCAGGATGCATGCTTTCCTGTTAGCTGCACAAGCAGTGTTTGGAATACAAAGTTGCTTGGGCCCAGTCCAAGAGTTCAAACATTTGAAAGGTTTTAGGAAAAAGTCGTGCAAGGCAGTTCCTCTGGAATGGCTGCCCTAGTTCTATTTTAAATGGTTCCACTTATGTCAACTGTTTACTGTGTTAAGGAGGAACATGCAAGTTATGAATCCAATGGCTTGTGAGTGCCTGAAAAGATTGTACAATGGGAAAGAATGAAAATGAAAACCAGAAAGTTACAAAAGATAGATTTAGATAAAGAAATGATTTAGATAATGTATGCACAAAATCTTAGACCCATGACTGTTATATATACCATATCTATTTTTAAAATTTTGTTTTTCTGAAAGGCATTTGACAACTCCTTTAGTTTTATGTAAAGGAAAATAAAAATGGGCATTTGGGACAGATGGCAGAATTTGATTTTCACAGGGGTATGAGTAACATTGCTGAATGTCATAGTTAATTTAGAAAGACAAATATGAAAAATTTGGTGTTTCTGGTGTAACTAATGTATTTTTAAAATCTTTAATAAATCTTAGTCTATTAAGGTTAACAGCATACTTTTGGGATATGGAAGAAATTGTACGTAACTTAACAACTACAGAATAAAGTTGTTGCTGATGCCCTAATATATATTTTTAAAATATATTTTATTGATTTTGTACAGACAGGAAGAGAGAGAGATAGAGAGTTAGAAACATCGATGAGAGAGAGTCATCGATCAGCTGCCTCTTGCACACCCCCTACTGGGGATATGCCCGCAACCAAGGTACATGCCCTTGACCTGAATCGAACCCAGGACCCTTCAATCCCCAAGCCAGCACTCTATCCATTGAGCCAAACCGGTTTCGGCTGATGCCCTAATATTAATACTCATGTATGATTTCTTCTTACTAAGATGAGCTAGGCTAGTCAATCTGCCTGAGTGATATTTCCCTGTTCAACCCATAAAGCACAAATATTTCTTGTGCTCTCGCTCCAGCAGAAGGCAGACTGAGGACTTACAACTTGGTGCCTTTACCCACTTTCATTTCTAGTTTCAACCAAAATGTAGCAAGTGTTTCTCTCCACTTGTATGTTTTATTTATGGAAAAGTTAAAACATTAAGAATAGAGAGAAATGTATTCTTTTATTTTAAAAATTATATATATTTTTTATTTTTTTGCTGTTCTCCATCCAGACAAGTTTTCTTTAATTTCTCAATTTCTGCAATTATTAAAGCAACATCAGATCATTGTTACGAGGCACACAGTATGTGGCAAACAGAATAAAACTGAACACTTGCCACAGTTCTGTAACAACAGAGTGGAAATATTTTATGTGTGACTCAGTGGATTTCCTGTTTCAGAGCTCAGGACCTGTAATCAGAGTCTCACCTTGACTACTTGCTCCTGAGTATTCTTGGGAAAGCCACTTCATACTATTTCATCCCCAGTTTTATCCTTTGAACAATGAAGAACGTAGTTATAGCTACCTCCTAAAGTGGTTGTGAGGACTACGTTAGTCACTGCCTGTGAAGATATAGCAGAAGGAATGGCTTCTACACATTGTTCAACAAATACCAGTTATTACTTAATGGACATACTAGTATATAGAATAGGCTAGTTGAAGATATGATATGTTTGTGAATTTGAATTGTTATTGATATTGAGGGAGGGGGCACTTTAGATGGACGGAATATGCTTGGGCAAAGTAAAGGGGCCTAAAGTACAAGGTGCAAATCTAGAGGCCAGAAAAGAGCACAGCTCGGTTGGTTCGAGACTAAAGTGAATTAACAGATATGAACTAGGAAAAAGATTGTCAGTGGGTCTTGAATGTCAAGCTGAGTAATTTGTATGTAATACAGTAAAATGTTTTCAGTGGGAGAGTAAAATTATCAGAGCTGCATTACTTTAATTTGGAAATTATTTGTGATTATTTAGATAATGAGGACTTTATAAAGTCCACATTAAAATAGAACAAAGAGGTCAAGTCTCATGGTGAGGCCCAAATGTCTTCTCTTGGGAGTAACTACATCAAACTCAGGATTATAAAGGTGAATTCCTCACCATGCTCCCAGATGGGGAGATGGGCAATATATCATGTATATCATACAGCATATGATATACACGATATATGTATATGGCTCACAGACCAAATCCAGCCCATGCCTGTTCTTGTATGGCCTGCAAGCTAAGATTGGTTTTTAATTTTTTAAAAAAATGATTGAGAAAAGAATAGTATTTTAATGACACACAAAAATTATACGATAATACAGTAAAATGTTTTCAGTGGGAGAGTAAAATTATCAGAGCTGCATTATTTTAATTTGGAAATTATTTGTGATTGTTTAGATAATGAGGACTTTATAAAGTCCACATTAAAATAGAACAAAGAGGTCAAGTCTCATGGTGAGGCCCAAATGTCTTCTCTTGGGAGTTACTACATCAAACTCAGGATTATAAAGGTGAATTCCTCACCATGCTCTCAGATGGGGAGATGGGCAATATATCATGTATATCATACAGCATATGATATACATGATATATGTATATGGCTCACAGACCAAATCCAGCCCACACCTGTTCTTGTATGGCCTGCAAGCTAAGAATGGTTTTTAATTTTTTAAAAAAATAATTGAGAAAAGAATAGTATTTTAATGACACACGAAAATTATATGAAATTCACATTTTGGCACCCAAAACTATATATCATATTTTATATATTAGGAGATTGTGTGTGTGTGTGTGTGTGTGTGTGTGTGTGTGTGTAATTTACTTCAAGGAATTGGCTCATGCAGTTATGGAGACTGAGAAGTCTCTTGATCAGCTTTATGCAAACTGGAGATGTAAGGGAATTGATGGTATAAGTTCTAGTCCGAGCACAGAAGAGCAATGTCCCAACTGGGAAACAGGCACAGTGTGAATTCACCTTTACTCCCTCCTTTTGTTCCATTCAGGCCTCCAGCAGACTGCATGAGGCTCACCCACCTTGAGGAGGGCATGCTGCTTCACATAGTCTGCCAGTCAAATGTTATCCAGGAACACGCTCACCCAAAACCATGTCCAACCGAATACCTGGGCACCCTTGTTTTAGTCAAGTTGACACATAAAATTAACCATTACTATAATAAATGTTATTGCAACCCAGCCATGCTCATTCATTTACATAGTGTCATTTATGGCTGCTTTCACGCTAAACAGAGGAACTGAATAGTTGAGATAGAGACCAAAAATATTTATAACCTGACTCTCTAAGAAAAAAGTTTGCTGACTGCTGTTCTAAGACAGAACTTTTAAAATTTTGATATAAGTACACATCACCTAGAATTCTTGTTAAAATGCGGGCTTTGACTCAGTAGGTAGAGACAGAGTCTCCATTTCTGGCTCGGTCCCAGGTCAGGCCAATACTGCATTCTATTTCTCAGTTTTTGTGCTTGTTACTGTTTTTGACTGCAGTGCTAGAAACTCCTATTTATACAAATATCTTTTAGTTCCATCCAGCTAAAATCCTGTTATTTCTGTTACTTTTT